TCATGAAACTAGGATTCAGGTTATATTGGGTTTTGTGTATTTCTATCATCAAGTACTCTAATTTGCGTTGGTGAATTGATACTGCAATACCCAATGTCAGCAATGTTTGTAGTCAGCATGACTGTCTTTATAAACAATTCTGAATGCTCTTTCGTGGATTTTATTCACTTTAGCATTCAGACATCTCTCATGGAACACCCATTTCTTAAATATTTCTGGAAACCACTTTGATAAAACAAGAGCATCAGTTTTTAGCCGTCCTAAAACTTTATCCAAATGACAGTCAGCTGCAAAAATCGTAGTATCATCAGCAAAGTTACATACTGCAGTATCAGTTACCATTAAGAATAAGTCATTAATGTATAAATTAAACAGAAGAGGCCCAAGGACTGATCCTTGTGGTACACCTGCAAAGGTTTCTCGCCAAGTGCTGAATGAACCATTTAATTTTACCCTTTGTTTCTACCGGACAGGTAATCATAAATCAATAGTTGAGCATCTTCACAAAAACCATAGGCATTTAATTTCACAATTAATAGTTCATGGTCTATGCAATCAAACGCTTTTGAGAGATCCATTAGCAAGGCACCAACCACCCCTTTTAGTTGGCAAATTATTCAGTTAGCAAAAGTAATTATTCAGTTGGCAAAAAAGTCCGCGAGTCATCTAGAAACACCCCTTCTTCACCCAGCCAGGTTCAGTGAGACTAGGCCTTCTCGGTGCTGCTACAATTATGACTCTGCTGTCAAAAACACAGATATGCTCTTTTAAAGATTTCGAAAAACAATGAAGAATTTGCTGATCGCCTTCAATGCATTAAACAATAACGACGAATTAGGGGAACTTTGCAATAAATCTTAATATCACTCAATTCGCAGAGATTGTTTGTCTTTTGAAAGTTTTCAAGTTTTTTTGAAAAATGCAACTTGGGACAGGGGCGCGCCGGGAAATTTCCCGGTGTCCCGGTGGTCCAGTCCGCTTCTGCCTCTTGCCCTTGCAACAACTGACGGATACAGACGCAAAACAGCCAAGAGCATGTGTGAAGGACATCGAACCTTATTTAGGATAAATAAGATTAATGTTGTGGGATTTCTACCCCACCACTATGGTCTGCACCCAGTTATCAAGCTCCTAGACACGGTGCCGCTGCGCAGCAATTTATGAAGTCTGGTGACGACCCATGGTGCCTAGCCAATGTGTTCGAGGGAACATGGTTTAAGACTGGAATGTTTGATGTTTTCGTTGAGTTTTCATGCTTTTTTGCAAGGGAATCACTTGTTTTTTGTGGATATTCTTTGTATCAACCAGTATTGACACCCAAGACGTGGCAGGCTAACATATGCTACTACATAATGCATTAAAATCAATCATAGTACCAAAAAACCCGGTGCCAAAAATTTGGGTGGATTATTTTTCGGTGGAAGAATAATCGGTGAATTTTCAATGAGAACTTGAAAAATCTTCGGAAAAAAACGATTTCGATGAGTAAAGAAATGAAGAACTTTCTGTAAGTTATTTCTATCTTCAACATAGAATTATCTAGAGCACAATCATAAAAGTTACAAAAATCGAATACTTTGATGCATACCAAGAGACAATTGAACTATCAATATAAGGAAGATTCCAAAAGATCACTGGGGCACATTTTAAAAGATAAAGAGATAACATTAAAAAAAATTTGAGATCTTATAACCCACACACATGGGGACACATGGGTAACACCCCTCCCACCAAGAGTTCTGAATCTGTTCTTAACTTGGTGGTGGCGTTAATTAAAAATCAATGACAGTTGATGGTATATTTGATTGTTTTTGTTTTCATTTCGATTTGTTTCGTTAATTTGCAAAGTGAAACCAGTGGGAGCTAAACTCCACATTACAACTTTTCAGCGCTGGGTGCGCGAATGATGAGAATGGCTGCCAGAAAATTGATTAAAACCGTCAAATAGCGTTCCATCCGCAAAAATTTATTCTAAGAATAAGATTGTATTGTAAGGTAGTAAAAATGTCTTTCTTGAGTGAATTTTCCAGCAAACTGGAAGCATCAAAGTTCGAAAATTTCCCCCACCTTTTGCGGCAACCATGGTGACGCCTCAGGTAGTAACTTTCGTGTAATGATTCCTATTCTGTTTAATGATTAAATGACGTCATTTTTTATTACTCAGAAAATTTTACAATGTTGTGAATATAGAAAAATCACGGAAAAAGACCTACAAAGAACTTTCTTAACATATGTCTTTTGTCCTTTTAGGGATATTTTGTTATAAAAGCGAGTTCCCCACATAAGAATATTAATCACGCTCTAAGTAGCTGTTCCTTCTTCCTTTTTATATTCATGTCCTGTGCATCTTTTTGCAATTGGGATTCCATGTTGTTTCCTCTCCAATTCCATAGCCCCCCTGTCGGAAGGTCAAGCCCCTCTGTCGAAGAATTTTTAGCGCCACCACTAGCAGTCTCAACTCAACGATCGATTAATATTCTTTGCAAGAAAGGGTTTTTTGCAAGAAAATTGTCAGCAAAGGGGTAATTCAGGTGGGAAAGTTAAACACAAACCATGAGAAAGCAGATGCCAAAATCTGCCACCTACTTCACCATGCCCTACTGATGAATAATGGACAGGAGACAGTTTGCATTGTGCGCTCTTGAGATGTTGATATTCTTGTTATACTTTTAACCAACGAAGCTAAAAACTTGCATGTCTTTATGGAGTACGGAAGAGGAAAATACAGGAGACTTCTGGATCTAAATGCTTTTGTGCTATCTTTATTGCGGAAGCAAGCGCTCCTTGGCCTGCATGCATTTTCAGGAAATTTCTACATCTCATCCTTATTGCGAAAAGGAAAGCCTGCATTTTGGAAGCGCTTTTTGGAGGCGATGAAGAATTCCAAAAAATATTCTCAGAGTTTGGTAAGAAAAATTGTGCAAGTGGTAATATGTTACTTGGCTTGGAAAGGTTTGTTTGCACACTGTATGGAGAAAAAAAAATGTTGTCAATGAATGAAGCAAGATATGCTCTAATCTGGTGGACCTTTGAAAAGAACAACAAAGTAATTGGTCGATTACTGCTCATGCAAAGCAGCCTCGAAAAACACTTAAAGCGTGCAAACTTTGTAACAAGGGTATGGAGACAAGCTTCACAAAGTATATCGCTGGTTAAAAGATTTGTTAATTGATTGGTTCACGGAGCCTAGCCTGTGCTTAGGGGTCTGGGACACACAAAGTATATGGCTGGTTAGAAGATTTGTTAATTGATTGGTTCACGGAGCCTAGCCTGTGCTTAGGGGTCTGTGCCACACAAAGTATATGGCTGGTTAGAAGATTTGTTAATTGATTGGTTCACGGAGCCTAGCCTGTGCTTAGGGGTCTGGAACACAGGCTAACGGAGCCCTACTATACTATCCTAAGGACACTGCGGAGCTATCGTTTGCAAGCGAAGAAAAGAAAGCGATTCAGAAGGAGAAAGCGAATAAACAAAACGCTTTAAGAATACAATAATAGTGAAATTTCCTTGTCTGTTATTTCCTGTACCATCAATGCTATGAAAGGCCAATTTCGATGGAGCATTGATTAAGACACTAATTTTTAATGAAATTAAACATTTTCTAATGTGCAATAATTAAATACAGTCATATTGGGACAATGCCCCCTCAATCTCGAAAATGCCCCCTAAATGCCAAAGCAACATCCGGATTCGTAATCTACACAAAAAATTTAGTTAGAAAAGTTAGTCTGTTTAATTGCCAGATCAGGTGATCATGCTCCCCCCTCTCACCTCTGGTCTATGACAAGCATTTCAGAATCCAGTGTTATAATGCGTACGTCACAACCTCGTTTTCGTGCTGATGCGAGATTGGTGTGGCAGTTTTGAGTTATTTGAATTTAGGAGTTGAGTCGAGTTGAGTTCGCGAATTATGGAGTTTACAACAGAGTTTTGAGTTACAGCTTCAATAATGTAAATAGTTGTTATGTTTATGAAAACGAGATGAGACCAAGCTCAAGCTCATCATTACAGCCCACGTCTTACAATCCTCACAATATCCAGTTTTGTAAAAGGATTGTAGCGCTTTAGCATTTTCGCTTCCATTTTATCGGGAATGTTTCAAGAACGTGAAGTACGTTTCTATTTAAACCCTGAAAGCGAGAGGAAGTTCTAAAAAATTTTGTAGAAATTCAGACGTGGGCCCCCTGCGAGAAAATTTTGCGACCATGCCCTTTTGATTGGCTAAAAATATATTTCAGAATATTTCTTACAGTCGTTCACTTGCAGTCTTTAGAAATGTTTTGATAATGTCTGAAAGATAAACTCTCTCTCCCCCCCTCCTCCTCTAAGGTAAGAATTTTGTTCCAGATTTTCACTTTTCTCAGACACCAATTTTTCGAGCATTGGGGAGAGAACGGCTGCCCCCTGGCCCTCTCCTCTCGCTATGCTACTGATAAGAAAATAAAAAAGCGAAATCTTGGCATTACTTTATTACTTTTGACTACCAAATAGTGATTTTTACCGAATGGAACAAAATTTACCGAATGACACAGAATATTGGGGGTGTCGCATCCCCTACACCCCCCGCCCCTGGTAATTTTTCATATAATTTTTCATGGAATCAATTTACTTGACTACAGAATTTGCCAATACATTACGTAATTATCCAGCTGTCCCTCCTGTGCCGTAAGATTTTGTCTGTGGCCCAACCACATAATAAGAATAACTATTCTGTGGCCCAAACCAAGACCTTTTAGTTGGATAGTACCTCTGCAATAGAGGGGACATTCCAGGCCAGTGTTTTTTGCATGCTAAAACTTGCACAACGTATTTGCAATGGCATTATTATAAAAAACTTATATTTGCACTCACTGGACGTTGTGCCTGCTTTTTTATGGGAAGTTGCAGAAACGAATTTGACATGTACGTCAATGGTGTGGGCAGATCTTGGTCTGGTTTTCCGATTGAAATGACTTGAGGCTCTCCAGCTGTGATCCAGCTGTGTCTGTCTGCATGTAAACAGAGCGAACAAGGAAATAGGTGTGGCATTTCCAGGGTATAAGTAAGTTTCCACGTGATAGCAGAGCCTATACAGCATTCAGTGTTTGCGATAAGAAGAACGTTCCTCGTCTTAAAAGGAACGATGTTGCTACGAGTAATTCTTTTCGTCGGTAAATGAATATACTTTTATCATTATGTTTTCTTCAATGCGCAGCTTAAACTAAGTGGCAAAGCAAAGGACACGCAAAGCTAGTCTGATTCTAGCACAAAACCAAATGCAATCATTATAAAAGTCCTGGAACACAGAAGCATCAATTACATGAGACCGATTTCAATCTTCTCATTGGTTTGCTAGAATTTTCGGGAATCTGTGACACTTCGAGCCGATAGCCTTACACTCTTTTTTTATAAGAACCAGTAAATTCAAGTTCAGGCTGAATTTTTTCGAAAATCTAAGGCTGGATTGTTCTTAATTTGTTCTTAAATTAAGTGGGTGTAAGCAGTGCTATTGCTAGCTTTTTCGCTCTAAGGAAGTGTTCAGGCCTCATTTGCAAACAAAGTGAGTCAGAAAATCTTCATTTGCCGCCAAGTTTGAATATTCACCGAAAAAGCACCCACACATCGCTAAAAATCTTCGATTTTCAGAAAAAACGTTGTTCAAAATTGCAGTTTGCAGAAGCTCAGCCTCAGTTTGTTTTTAATTTGTTCTTAACTTTTGACCAGTTTTGAGGCTCGTGTTCTTATAAAATTGTTCTTATAAAAAAAAGAGTGTATAAGAGGACTGTAACTTAACAAACAATAAAAATCGCTATCCTTGGCGCAAAGACCCACTCGCCGACCTTAGTCCGAACCGCGCGAAAAGACGATAAGAACCAGATGGAAAACTTGAACGTAAGGTTCAATCGGCGATATAAACCACAAGCAATAGTTTTATTCGGCGGCGGCAAGAATGTTCGGCCGGTACAATTTACTGTATTTAACGGCTAACGGCAACTTCATAAAACGGAACGGTTTCGACACGACTTTACATAGAGTTGTAAAGTGACGACGTCACAAAAATCTTATTTTAGAATTTTTGAATTTGGATCCTCTAACTTTAAAGAGCATCATGAAATACCTCTAAATATTCAAGATGAGTCAATTTTGTTACGAATTGGCAGAGATATGGTCACATGTTTATTGGTTCTCTCCCCCATCAAACCTCGGTATTTTGGTCTCTGCTCATAACTTTATGAACAGAGGCAAAATAACAGTTATTCGTTAGCAACCCTAAAAACTTTAGTACCATAAGTAAACCATTTTTGTATTACTATTTAGTACTTTGAGAAATAGTTAAGATTCAAGTTCATTTTTTACCCTCTATACAAGCTTGACCCTATCTAAGCAGGTCTCTTTACACTTTAAACTCTGCAGGATAATTGTCAACACATATTATTTGGCCGGCCCTGCATGAACTAAAGTTTTCTTGCTGTTGCTTTTTACCGTATTTTGGCGGGAAATCACTTCCCTTTCCAAATCGTTGCCTAAATGGCCACCACGTCAAAGTTAGGGAAAGGAACTTTGAACTATTTTTTTCGAAAAGCAGCGAGAAAGAACTGCTGTTTCCAGCAAGTTATCAAATAATCAAGATAACAATGGACTGAACAAATCTAGTAAGGATCAGGGAGATGGGAGTATAATTTATTACTTTATAACGCAAAATTTATAACAATAATGATGGATGAAGCAACCGATAAAGCTAACAAGGAGCAATGTGTTTTTTGCATAAGGTATGTTGATGATGAGCTACATGGGGATTTTGTTGGATTGTATGAAATTGAATTAATAAAATCTGACGTTCTTGTAAAATTTATTGAATATGTAATGTGCCGTTTGAATTTACCCTTCAGTAAAGTACGTGGCCAATGCTATGATGGTGCTTCCGCTTTAAGTGGTGCAAAAAGTGAAGTGAAATGGAACATACATACATTGAATGTTTTGTTTTGTTTGTACACTTTTGAAATATGATTTTTTTCAAGGGTGTCTCACACCCCTCATGCCCCCTTTCATGCCGGCCCTGCTGCCCTCCCCCCCCCCCAAACAAAAAATTGTATCTCGGTCCTTGCAATGGATTACAGATTGTAGGAAATTACTGTAGAGTAGAATAAGGTGATTGGCGTAGCGGAGGCATCTGGGTTCCTAAGAGAAAACTGAGATGGGGCCCCTTTTAACGGACTCTAGTAGAGCATGTCAAACACTAATGCAATACGCAACACTAACCCAAATTAACTTGTAGAAGCTTCAATTAGAGTAATCTAAAAGCTTTTAAAAATGAGGTGAATTCAGCAAAGTCATAAGAATTTATAAGAAAGAAGTTGCCATACCAATAAAGAAGGTAACAAAGATGGAAACCCTTTGATCAATCATGACTTCAATTGAATGCCATAAAGAATCCCTGCCAGAGCTCACAAGTCATTGCAACTGTACAATTTATTTGCACTTTCATCTGCAACTGCAGAACGTGATGGGTAACATTGCCAATAAACAATTTCTGCCGGAATAATTAAACCGAGCAATGTTCCCGTACGATAAATTCAAGATATTCAAGAATAGTTCAAGATATACAAGAGAAAAACAAACTGGTTATGATGGGGGATTAACTAAGCCTAATTTTGAACGGGGACGTATCATTTTGGTTAAAAATTTTGAACCCATAATTCCATTCATGTCTGAAAAATGTGAACCATTATACCGCAATCATGATGAAAACTATACCCATAATTCCGCAAAGCAAATAACATTTTTAAAGCACAACGAAATCATCAAACAAATTTTGCATGTTCTTTGCCAAAAACCTCAATATTGCACATATTTCATACTTTCCTTTCTAACTGGACATTTATTTTGTTAATGCTCAATCTCCTTTTTAATAATTTTGCAATATTTTTCGAAAATGGTACCCAATGTCTAGACATATTTCAAAAACTGATACCGATAATTCCACACTTTTCAGAAAAAGGTACCCCTAAAACATTGCACGTTCCCCTACCTTCAAACATGTTAAGGTACCCCCCCCCTCCCACTTCCCACCCAGCAAAAGCCTTAACAACAGAATGGGAAGTTTAAGACTGGCCTTTTAGATTAAAAGTTTTATTAGTACCAAAGTTTTATTTCATATCAAATTTTTGTTATAATTCTAATATTAGATCTGTTGAAAGAGTGAAAGATTAGTTCTATTTGGGTGAGAGATAATTGACGCCCAAAGAGATAATTGACTAGTTTCTATAACGCGTGACTTGTCCATTCTGTTATTTAAAGATGAAAAATCTCTGATTCTTTTAGTGATCTTTTTCACATGCTATGCACATCGACAAGAAAACAATTATGCAGCTGAACTAGAAAGTATAAAGGTGAGGAAAAAATTACACACGATTTTCCTTTTAAGTTTTGTATCAAGTTTAAGAAAATGCGTCATCGGCGAAATTTGCTACCGAAGAAAGCAAACGAACTGGCCATATTAATAGGTACGAATCCAAGGAGGGGGCACAGGGGGCATTGCCGGTTTAATATGCGTTTCGGTACCCTATGCAAAAGTGCAACATTGTGAAACGCAATGTGTTTCAAATCTTGTGATTTCATTGTAGTGTGACGTATTGACACGTTATGAGTAAGAAATTGAACACAATGCATTTCGAGTTTAAAATTTCACATTTGTCAATCACGCAAAATTTGGAGTCGCTATTAATGTTGTAATTTTTTGCATAACCTTAACAAGGGAAATCACAACACCGCTTCCTGTTAACACCCCCTTTTTAGAAATATTTTGATTGTTCTTTACATTCTAAAAAATTTGAACCAGATCATTTTTGTACCCAGACCAGTTCACATGCTACATTCCACCATTCATTTCGGTTCCCAATTTTTTAAAGGCAAGGGTCCATTTTTGTATTAACGACATTGCCACGTGTTTGTGTACCCGGACCGTTTTGCATGCTAAATTCAATCATTCGTTTTGGTACCCTATGTTTAAGTGTATGGGCACGTTTTGTATAACCAAAATTATCATGCATTTGTGTACCGGTACCGTTTTGCATGCTAAATTCCACCATTTGTGTTGATACCCTATTGTTTAAGTGCTTGGGAACGTTTTTGCATTACCAAAATTTTCATGCATTTGTGTACGCGGACCGAAATGCGTAAGGTTACCGAAATGCATGTGACACCCCGGCCAAACTAAATTTTTTGCCCCTATCTGCCATCTAAAAATGTTAGGATTATAGGGTTTTTTCACTAAGGGAATTTTTCTTTATTTCCAAGGAAAGGGCACCGGAAGATGCAAGAGAAGAATTGCCCATGAATCATCTAGACGATGATTTAGTCGAAAGGAACATGGTTGAAGATAGTGACGGAGAGCTGGAGGAAGAAGAAGCAGACGATGATGAAATAGAAGACGGTAAATTAGCCTGATACTTGCATTGAAAAAACATACATTTAAAAGGGATAAGATTCAGAAAAGATTTTTTATTGGAAATTGTTACAGAAGGAAGCAAGGAATCAAGTCAAGACGGGCCAGAGTGCATTTGGATGCATGGAGATTGCAAATGATGGTCAACGATAAACCTTTCTCCCAAAAAATGAAGAAAACAGTATCGTTTTTTCCCTGAAGCCTTCTCGCATTTTCTTCTATTCAAGCCAAAAATCTTCTGGAATTAAAGAAAATCAACCTTCAACCCTGGCAGTTCCAAATTCAATTTCAACCTTCAACCCTGCGTTTAGATAGGTTTAACATTCGAAACAGGAAGCCACTAACCAATATATAATAGCAATGATAATGTGGCTGTTCCCAAACCCATCCCAATCTACACTGTCGTTGCTTCATATGTAAACTGGGAGAGACTTAGCATGCAATATTCTTTAATCCTTGTTACAAAACTCAAAGATTACCAGAAAGAAGTGTTGCCGTGATAGTTTAAGCTTTAACAAGTTACATCATTATTAGTATTATCATTATTACTTTGAACTCTATCTGTACATTTTAGACAGGGATCCCGTGATTGGGATTTTTTGGAAACAAGCTGCAAAGGTGGTTAAGAAAGCTGCCAAAACGAAGAAAAAGGAGAAGGGTGGTTCCAAAGAAACAACTGGTGGTGCTGAGCACACTAAAGGAAAACGGCCTAGCACAAAACAAAAACATGAAAAAGGTCAAGCGACAAAAAAGAAGCAACAGGAGAAAGCATCTCAAAAGAAGCAGAAAGGAGGGAAAGATGGAAGCAAAAAGAGACCGGGGGGAGCAGCAAAATCACGTCGCCGTAGTTTAACTCGCCGCAGGTCTTCCTACCGGCGGAGGTTTTCTACCCGTCGAAGATACTCAAGACGCCGTAGATATTCACGCCGGCGTAGATATTCAGCAAGGCGCCGATATTCACGACGCCGGAGGAGCTATTCTCGTCGCCGTCGCAGTTCCCGCCGTCGCAGTTCTCGCAGACGCAGTTCTCGCAGACGCAGTTCACGCAGACGCCGTTCTCGCAGACGCCGTTCTCGCAGAAGGGGTTAGACAGTCGATAAAGATGACGCTTCAAGTAGTTTGATTTGGAAATATAAAAGATAGAACTGATTCACCAGATTTCGTGTTCTTTGATATATTATACAAGTAGGAAGATAAAAAGAAGTCAGATAGTAACTAATTGTATAGCATGACTCATAATAGTATTGTCAGTAACAAGGGAATCAGTGACAGTTATTGAAACAATAAATGAAAAGCTTCCAAGAAATGATATCTTCGCTCTTCAAAATAAAAAAACCGATACAGCAATCCTTTTATCGTGAACAAATTTAGACAAAGCAACAAAATTTAGCTACTGTGCAGAGATCTAATTCTTTTAAGTTTTGCTCCCTTTATTATAATAAAACTGTGTAGGCATTGCTCTGTAATTGTTTTGGTTCTAATGTTGGGATGGCTCAATGGTTGGGGTCAAAGACTAGTACAGATCCAAGGGTGTGCGAAATTTTTGCCATATGCCATACTCCCTGTGTTGTCTCTTTTGAATCATGATGTTTTTCCTTTCGCCACTGAATGTCCTTTAGTATTAAAAATTGCGCTTGGAATGATAAAGGATAACATTTTCTATACGTTTATTTTAAATTGCAATCCAACAAAGGCTATTTAATATTCCACTTCAACTAAGAACTCATAGGCATCCTGCATAAATGAAACGTAAAAACTAAGAGTTTGTACTTAAAGGAATTTAGACTAACTCAAACCAAATATCTTGACCAGTGACAAACGGGGCCCTTTATTCCTGGTCAATGACTAACAGTACCCCCACCCCCCTTCTCCCTGTTTCGTACTTGGCAGAAGCAAACCAAAAGTCAATCCTGGAGTTCTACAGTAAGAGCCTGAAAAATCTGAACCATTTTGAAAAAAACTTCTATACTGAACCATCTATACTGATTTTGTTGAAATATGGTGCCCTCGTATACGAAACTGCTGTAAGTATTGATGGAAGATTAAACCGGCAGTTTAAAAAAGCTCGTTTAAATCTGCAACTAGCTATAAAATCATTACACTCTTTTCTCAAACTTGAAGAATTACAGAAAGAGCCCGTCAATCTGCACAATCACCAATTTGCACAAAACAGATGGCAGAAGGTTCTCTTGGAATCCATTTGTCAAAATTATTTTGTCAGATATTTTTCTAAGTATAATGCCTTACGCATGCTAATGTACTGGCATCATATCTTTTGTAAATGATTTGTAGCGTAGAAGCAGGAGCATTGCAGCCATTAGGTTGACAGGAGCAAATGCCTCTCTTTACTCTTTCAAAAAGTGCTGTAAACCAGGGTTGTCCTACGCGTGGCCGGCGGGCCACATTGTGGCTCCTCATGTTGTCTAATGAAGCCCGCGCTTGGGTCAAAGTTGATAAAGAACTGCATTGTATTTATTCAGGTTGTAAGAGAGAAGTTAATTCATATTATTTACGAGATCAAATAAAAGCGCACCCACTTTCGTGCGCATACACTTGGCGACTTCAAGTTCAACGCAATGAACCAAACGCCCTATTCTGTGCCCAAGCAGTGAACACGCTGCGCTTGTTTGAAAAGTTCAAGATTGGTACAAGCCATGTTTCTAAAAAGCCGTGAAGAGGGAGAGACGTGAACTTGGGAAACGCAATTTAAAATTATCGTGGACAATCATAGCAAAATGACTTTGTTATGTGCTTAATTTGTTTGAAAAAATCGCAGTGCGGAAGGAATACAATATTGCTAGGCATAATAACACTAAAAATTCATGTTATTATAAGCTGGAAGGCCAGTTACATGTTCATGAATTAGAAGTTTCTTGTCAACAATCTCTAAGGAAATCAGGTTTTTGAGTTCGGATTGCGACACAAAGGTCAGCATGCCGTGGTCTACTTTTCTTTTTGGGAGCACATACAAATACAAACAAAAGTTGTTAAAATTGATGGCAGAAGCAGATTAAGATCCGGTTCGCACGGGAAGGATTGCGTACTGTTACCATGTCGTTCAAAATGATTGAACAAACGGGAAATGAACTGTTCAAACAGGCACGAAACGATCACGTACCAATTGTTTCTTCTCTTCACGCGGGAAGACAATCTCTCCGTTTTACTTTTTGTGCTAGAATTTCAAAAGTTTACCAATGCGCATATGAGTATTCCCATACGAACAATGCAAGCATATAGCCAGATCAGTGATTATTCTGTTTTTCGGATCATTTTACCTGTTCACACGGGAACGGAACGATTTCACACTGTTACTCTTTTTGAATCACCTAACGGCACGATTTAAAGTGTTCCCATGTGCGCGCAACTCCTATGCGACCCATTCTTTGGAATGGGACGATATGAAACGGAACGGGGCCAAACGGACAATGCAGCGGTAAACATATAAGTGGCCCCTCAGCTACTTCGTTATTCTGAAAGTGGTCCTTCTGGAAATAAGGTCGGACAACCCTGCTGTAAACAATCAAAATTTTGTAAATTACCGTTTGATGAGAATAAGTCATTTCGCAAAATTTATGAAGATTGCTAGTTTAATCGAAAATAATCTCGCCCCCTAAGCTGGAGAAGTTGATTCCTCTGTAAAATCTTGGACTGAAAAATGGGCTTTCGGCGTTAGTCCAACTTTTATAATCTACATATCACTTAAGAGCAATACACCATTTGACAGTTTTACCAGCCGTGTCGACGTTTCAAAGTCAATTTGATTGAGAATCTTCTTCTTTCCAAAATAAAATTTTAAATAAAAACGACCTTGCATTTCAACATAGGGGCATTTTCTGACGTTCTACATGGCGTAATTTAAAAAATTTATCCGGGAACAGTCTTACTCACCACCAAATTTCTCCATTCTGTCATCCATTGCATGGGGTTTTAAGAATGAATTTTGACATAGTTTACAGAAAACTGACTCTCTGCTACACAATTTTTTCTGGGCCCGTTTTACAAACCCCGAATTTCAGCAACTTTAACACCTATTGGCATCCTTTTGGATGCTTTTCCCGGTGGGTTGAATGGTAGCGTTAAATTAAATGAAATATTACACAAATAAATGCCATGCAGAGCTCGAAACTCATCAATCAAAGATTTCCGAACATCGAAATTTATTTTCGGAACAATTTTTACGGATCTCGAAACCCGTCTCGAAGTGTCAAGGGTAATTTAATACTATGAAATTTAATACTATCTTCACCTATGAAGAATGTGGGCGAAACGACTGGCTGGCTATGATTGGATGGGTAGAACAAACATATTTTCCTGTCAAGGTGCAGTGCCTATAAAAGAGCTCAATACCTTCTCAAGTGGAGCAGATAAACTGGCTGTGTGGATCACTTGAAGGGTGAGAATTCATTCTTTTTCCTCTAGTTGAATGTACATAATTATTTTATTTTGATATTCTTAGCTTACTTTGATTATCGGTTGAAGATTCTAATACCGCTGGATGTCAACATCATTATAATGCTGATAAAGGCATAATTGTATGAAAATATCTGAAGTACTTTTAGTGCCCCAAACATTGCCATGACCCATCGTTATGTTGCCCGCAAATGGGGCTTTCAACAAGTATTGCTAAAGCTGCACATGAAAATATGTTTCCCGGTTCAATTCTGTGGTGTAGAATCCAAATTTCGTGATATTTTTTGTGTGTGAGACGTTCAGTTGATTTCATGCGTCTTTGCCTCTGAGTGGGGCACTGCTGGTAGCGTACTAACTGGTTCAAATATTGTATACCTGTTCAAGAGGGAATGAGAGTTAGGATTATAAGTGTTCATAGATTAGACGACTGCATCAGAAACACGAGCACGTGAATGATTGCCCTATTTCGATCCACAACTGGGTATATCTATTTATCGATCTATATATATTTCCTAGCGTAGAGTTTTCGATCTATGTTCTGAAGTTCAAACTCTGAAGAATCTCAGACGAAAAGCTCTAGTATACTCAAATGTTTGCTTTTCTCAAAGCCATTTTCAAGCTTTGTATCACCAAAAGATTGTTATAATCTAATTTTCCGTTACAATAATTTTGTGAAGCTCGTCTTCTTCGCAAGGAGCATAATTATTGTTTAACTTGGATCCACTATCATTTTTGTCTTGAAAAGAGTGCCAAACTGTTTTTAAAAACCCCCAAAACAAAGCTGCCTTTTCGAAACAGAGGTTCCAGAGCGACACCGTATCGGATTCATGCGTTCACAACTTCACACCACTAATCTAGAAAAAGTGATCCGATACGATTCCATTCCACATTCACAGCGGAATGGTTTGACTCCGCAAATACGATACGGAGCGTATCGGATTCAAGCGTCATCGTGTGAACACAAAATAGAACAGAAGGCCTATCCGATATGAAAAGCGATCTGATACGAAATGAATCCGGTATCGTGTGAACAGGGCCTTGATCTGGTTTTCCGATTGAAACAGCTTGAGGTTCTCCAGCTGTGATCCAGCTGTGTCTGTCTGCATGTAAACAGAGCAAATAAGGAAATTGGTGCGGCATTTCCAGTGTATAAGTAAGTTTCCACGTGATAGCAGAGACTATACAGCATTCAGTGTTTGCGATAAGAAGAACGTTTCTCGTCTTAAAAGGAACGATGTTGCTACGAGTAATTCTTTTCGTCGGTAAGTGAATATACTTTTATCATAAAGTTTTCTTTAATGCGCAGCTTAAACTAAGTAGCAAAAGCAAAGGGCACGCAAAGTCTGATTCTAGCACAAAACCAACTGCAATCATTATAAAAGTCCTGGAACACAGAGGCATCAATTTCATGAGACCAATTTCAATCTTCTCATTGGTCTGCTAGAATTTTCGGGAATCTGTGACACTTCGAGCCGATAGCCTAATAAGAGGACTGTAACTTAACAAACAATAAAATTCGCTATCCTTGACGCAAAGACCCACTCGCCGACCTTAGTCGGAACCGCGAGAAAAGACGATAAGAACGAGATGGAAAACTTGAACGTAAGGTTCAATTAATGTCTCAACAGAACTACTGATATTAACTACAACAAGATATTATAATACACAAAATCAATTACCAGATATAAAGTGATACCTCAGCAATGCTACTTAGCGAAAACTCGTCTTGAGGACGTAAACTTAACAGAGGTGGGTATCCTAAAAGGTTGGAGACAACTTCTACCAACCTGCGCGACGTTACGGAGATTACTTAAACGCTTACTTAACTTAAGGTCAACGGGGGTAACAACAGTGGACATTATGGGCGCAACTTAACAATTGCTACTGTACAACAACAAAGCAATACGATATAAACAACAATGCAAAACAACAATGCAAAAAACCAATGCGTAAATACAGAGTAATCTAATTCAATGTCAAAATAGAACAACGTAGTATAGTTCTCGATACATCTTAGAAGTGTCCACTTCGTACTTGAAATCAATCTGTAATGATTCTTATGATAATCCCAACTGGATCTCACTACAACAAGAGCTTAAAGTGCCTTACGCAAATAATCAAGGGACTCACAGTCCACAACTTTGTCTTTGTCTTGACTTCGACTTTGTCTTTGCTGCACTTGCTTGGGTAGAGCCATGGTTGGGTAGAGCCATGGTTGAGTAGGAGGTCTAACCTTGGTGTTTACAACACTCTTCTACAAGAGTTAAGATAGGAGGATGAAGCAGAATATAGAACATTTTTTAGAATGACGCCTGAAAATTTTGACGAGTTGTTGGAGCTTCCTTCCACGCTTCTATGAATTCATCTGTATTGACAACTTTCTTCGCCACCTTTAAGGCCCTGTTCACACGATACCGGATTCATTTCGTATCGGATCACTTTTCATATCGGATAGGTCTTCTGTTCACACGATGACGCTTGAATCCGATACGCTCCGTATCGTTTTTGCGGAGTCAAACCAATCAGCTGTGAATGTGGAATGGAATCATATCGGATCGCTTTTGAGCTCGTGTGAACGCATGAATCCGATACGGTTTCGCTCCGGAACCTCTGTTTCGAAAAGGCAGCTTCGTTTTCAGGGTTCTTAAAAACAGTTTGGCACTATTTTCAAGACACAAAATGACAGTGGATCGCAGTTAAACAATAAATATGCTCCTCGCGATGATTTTTTTTATCCACTTTATTTAATGTTGGTTTACAAAATACTAGCTAATAAACAGCTAATTAACACCAACTTGTAACAATAACAAATATAACTAAGAAACAATCGCGATGTTTACAAGTACCCAATATTAGAAATATATGGTGTGCATAGCCTACCCGAGCAAGTAAGGTCCGTCTGTTTAATTTTAGCTTTGAATACTTTACAATTCTTTTGTCGATCAAATGTCAAACGGTATAGAATTCCACAATTTATTACATCTATGGGATATTGTATCTAGCCCATAAGTAACAGTGTTCGGCTTTTTTTGTATAAACGATTGATTTCGCAAATTATATGCAAGTTTATTCAACTGAAATATTTCTTTCATAAATACTGGATTTAAGTTGTTTACTGTTTTGTATATTTCTATTGCTAGTAGTTGTAGGTTCTTTTGATGTATCCTGACATAATTTTTGTGTGAGAGAATATTTTCAAAACTTGATTCAAAATCATTGTAAGCCAATCTCAGTGCTGATGATGAGCTTCACAAGATTAATGCAAAGGAAAACTGGATTGATTAAAAACTGATTTCGAAATAGTTCTCTTCTTCAAAACAAAACAGCGTATCAGTTCCGTCACGTCAAAGAATGCATTCAATCAGAAACATAGGAATCCTGTCGCTGTGTACGAAGAATGCCGGTACTCTTTTGATGCTTTGTAGGCAGTTTCATAGCATCCGCTACGCCCATGGGTAGTTCTACTTCATATTTGAGTTGCTTTTGGAATGGAAACCGTTATAAAGTTTTCAATATTGACTGATGCGATGATCTTGGAACCTTTCACCTACAGCACCTGACTGAGGGCAGAAACGCCGAGCACCGAAATTCAGTCGACAATAGCAATACACTTTTACCAATCAAAACTTTTATTGCCACTATATCCGTTTCTTTAATCACGTCATGCCACAAAGGATTGATCGTTTTCGCGAAAATCCGTGCCAACTTTCCTTCTGGCAATGATACAATGCTTCTTTGCACCGTTCACTACGTAATGACGTTGAGTCACCATCATTTCGTTGCCGCAAGCAATAGAAATCGGTACCCTAATTACAGGAAAACGAGCATGCCTTGCATAGCACAAAAGTTACGGAAAAGCGTCTCTCTATATATATATTTATATATATATCATAGAGTTGAAGAAGATAAGACTACATGGTTTATCTCTACAATAAGCCTGTTTCGTGAGTAACTCACTCTTCAGGAGATGTTGATATACTGGAATATTCTTCGAATAAATAGATAATACGGTACAGAAGGTGTTACATAATGTGTGAGGTTATACAAAAGGTGAATTAGAGGCGGTACATAAAGGGATTTAGGTTTTCGGAAAAAACACTTTGTGACGTATGAAAGGGCTATCGTTTAAATATTCGGCGCTATTGTTATACGTTCGCACTGAAATTCGCACGACTCGGTAGAAACTCGGAGGAGGCGATTCATGTCGGAATCTCGGTTGTCGTTTTATTTATTTTCCTTCATTGCGATTGATGTTCAGCGAAGGCTTCCAGCCAACATGGACTAGTAATTCCACAAATCAAAGATGAAAACTTCAACCTGAACGCAAATTCCCATCTTGGCCACGCAGCAAGCTTTTAAAAATATAATGCTTCACGAATTTTCAGATGTGAATGGATTTCTGACCGACGGCATTTCTTATCGTCGTCTCATCTCAGGGATTTCCAGGGAGGTGAATAATAATTGATGTCTTACCGCATTAGAAGAAGAACCCCATTCACAAGATGGAAGCTTTCCCGTAAGTAACAATCCATCATTATCCAGGCAACGCGGAGCAGGGGGGCTGGGGACGGGGGTGGGGGGCTTTAGCCTGGCCTTCTAAAAATCATGCCGCTGCTAGGCCCTGTTTGCCATTTCGCTACGTTCCCGTTGACCCTTTGGACAGCCGATGATACTTGCCGCGAAAATACCGAGGCCGAAAATGTTTGTGACATCAACCGAAGATCTCTGAGAACACGGTTGAAAAACAATTCAACTCAATGACCAATTTACAAACGCTAATAACTACAAAATGGTTAGAGATATGAAAAAATAATAACAGATTCGTGTTCAGGAGGTCTGATTACATCGTGTTCTGAAATTAAATTTTGGGCTGGAGTGGCCCTTTAAAACTGACGAAGTTAGACATGTTCAACTTCTTCAGTCAAAAACTGACGGTCATTAATGCATCAGTTTTTATCAGTTATTGCTAAATACAGGATCAGTTTTTGACTGAAAACTGATCACTGTCAGTTAAAAGTTGATCGTGTATTTCAGCTTTAGACAATGGCCGATATATATCTTCTATGGTTAGGACATAGTCAGGGATGGCGCTAGAACCCAAACAACGATGTGACGACTACTTTAGAAATGGTTGCCGACATATTTTATGAACTCCCCTTCACAGTTTCTTTAAATCTTAAAACGTTTTGAAAATTAACGAAAAATTGTATACGTTCTTAAAACTAACAATTTCGTTTTATGTGCCTAGCTTGTAAGCCTTTACGCCGTTTACTGGCCAAGAAAATTTGAGCCATTTATTGCTCAGTTTCTGCCAAAGACAGTATGATCTTGCTTTTGAAACTTTTATTTTAAAAAGATCGAGGAAAATGTCAAGGTCAAGCATCTAGGCCTTTTTTAACTGAATATCAAGGAATTATCTTGTTTAAAGTGAAAAGGGCTACGCATTTAATGGTTATCACAAGCCCTGCGTCAAGACATCAGAAGAGACTTTCATGCGAGCGAAGCGAGCCGAAAAATTTTGCGACTGCGTCCTTAAGTTTAGCTTCAAATTAATTCCAGAAAATTTCTTGGAACTGTCGGCTTTGAACTTCAATTTAATGGTTCTTATAAAAGAACTAAACTCTCATTCGACAGTTTCAAAGTGCCGACAGTTCTTTTTCTTTTCCTTTATTGGGCTGCCGACAGGGTGTCGTTTGGAACTTTTGGGGGGGCATCTGCTCCCCCCCCCCATGACACCCCATAGCGACATCCCTGGACATAGTGACCAAGCTAAAGGTAAGGGCATATTTAAGAGAATACTAGCAACAGGTGCTTACAGTATGGTAAACTATATTTCTTTCCTGCAGAAATGAGGGTGGCCATGGTCCAATGGTTTCGCCGGCCCTGTATAAAGATCTCATTTGATAGATTAGCTCAAAATACATTAAGTTTCATTTTGGAAGAACAAAGGAAACATGTTTAGATTAATGTTATGCTTTATGCTGTCATAAATTGAAAAATGCTGTAGCGATGGTGCCAAATGACAGAACTAATCAAAACCTCGAAAGCATGTTAGGTGGATAGCCTCTGTTTTGGATGAGGGTGGGCTTCGATCAATGATATAGAAGCGCCGAAGGCGCTAGATGTCTAACTCACGGGTACGCTGTGAAGCAAATTTGTTTACTTCCGCCATTTTGAATAGTGGCAAAAAGGAACTTGCTCCATACTGAGCCCTTATAAATTTGGTAAAAGTAAGGATTGATTTTGTTAACTTCTCTTTCGAATATCGATGTGAAATTTGGTGAGTGGCCTTATATTGTTCTTAAATTTATGAATTGATGTTGATATTGGAAAAATAAGCCGTCATTCGCAAATTCCAAGCATTGACAGTCGCGGTGCTTGCTCTGGTGTTTTAGGTCTCGTCGAAATTCCAGAAAACAATGATTGATCTGTTTTAAAACGGATCCAGCAACAATGTTTAGCCACTCAATGCATAATTTTCTTAACACATTTGTACAAAGATGTGATTTAGTTACTTTTTCTTTCTTTGTTTGCAGAAAATGCCATGAAATATCTAGGCCTAACTCTAGGCAAAGTCGAAAATAGGTCATAATTTAATGCTTGGATATTAATAACAGAATCTAAATATAGTAACCAATTTTTGACACTTTCCTACTCATGCCATAGAAGGTTCTAAACGACAGACAGAAAAATTCAAGAATTATGTATCTAAAATGGTCTAATCTAAAATGGTCTATATTATTAGATAATAGGCCCAAAAAGTTCTTTCTAATTTATGTGAAGATAAAAATTGCAAGCACATACTTTTTCAACTCATAAAAATACGACAGGCCACTGCTATATTCCCTCCGTAACTGCGTAAACTAAAAGAGCCATATTTTTTAAAATTCTGATTAAAAGCCCCAAAAAATTGTTATTTGTGGTTGATTTATATCTCCACCAACTACCTGCATCAGAAAAGGCACTGAAATAGTTGTGAACCACGAGAAAATCATTCATTAAAACAAGCAATTTTCCATACTGAACCCTGTTGCAGCTCGCTTCTTGCCACTATTTAAAATGGCGGAAGTAAACAAATTTGCCTCACTCGGCAGTACGCAGCATGACCCGAGTTGGATATCATTGGCCTCGATTCGTATCCGATCCCATTTGGAACCGTTGAGCTCGATGGGATCAGTTCCAACAAACACTGATCTATGATTCCAAATAGGATCGGTTAGCCAGACGAGACTCGTCTGGATACGGCTAGCAGTTCCATTTGGAACGGTTCCACCCGGTCCCATTGAAACGCTACGCCTAACCGTATCCATTTTGGAACCGGTCTCGTGTAAACGCAGCCTCGAATTCTAAGGACGACACTGAGATCTGTTGAAAGAGTGAAAGATTGGTTTTATTTGGGTGAGAGACAATTGACGCCCAATGTATATAATTTCTAGGCCTATGCAGTGTTTAAAAGCGAAAAACTTTTGAAACGAATTAACACGAAAATAAAGATAATCAACAATGCCCACCTTTCCTTTTGTAAAATGCAATTTGCTGTCAAGCCATATTTTTGCAAACTTTAACCAAAGTCGTTCGTTGAAATTTCAGAGAGTTTGGCATTAAATATTTTTTCAAAGGGAACTCTAAAGGAATTAAGTCTCGAAAATATATACAATTTGTACGGTCACTAAAGCCCGTTGGCAGATCTTCATGAGTCAAATTTTGTCTAAACGAGAAATGCCTTTCTCCCAAGTCAGCTTTGGCTAGAGGTACAAAATATTACTTGTTTCAAAAGCATGCTTCTATCTGGCAGCATGAGGATCCTTCCTCTTTCACACTCGAAAAACGATTTAAAGAATTATTGATTTTTTCCCTACTTCCTTCAACCCATTGCCAAAACTCAAAAACTTGGCCAAGTCACAAATCTTTCTAAAAATCGTCTGTCGGGCAACCGTAAGTTTTTCAATACATTGAATATTTGTGTTGATTAACCAAATATTCTTTGATTTCTATCATTAAAATAAATTTGCGAATCATGTCTTTGCAATGGAGTGCCAAGGACTAGTTTCTATAACGGGTGAGTGTCCATTTTGTTATTTAAAGATGGAAAATCTCTTATTCTTTTAGTGATCTTTTTCACATGCTATGCACATCGACAGGAAAACAATTATGCAGCTGAACTAGAGAGTATACAGGTGAGGAAAAAATTGAACACGATTTTCCTTTTAAGTTTTGTATCAAGTATATATGCGTTTCAGTACTCTATGCAAAAGTGTAACATTGTGAAATGCTATGTGTTTCAAATCTTGTGATTTCATCGTAGTGTGATGTTTTGACACGTTATGAGTAAAAAATTGAACACAATGTATTTCGAGGTTAAAATTTCACATCCGCTTCTTATTAGCACCCCCTTTTAGAAATATTTCAATTGTTCTTTACATTCTAAAAAATTTGAACCAGAACATTTTTGTACCCAGACCGGTTCACATGCTACATTCCACCATTCGTTTCGGTTCCCAATTTTTTAAAGGCAAGGGTCCATTTTTGTATAAATGAAATTTCCACGCGTTTGTGTACCCGGACCGTTTTGCATGCTTAATTCCACCATTCGTTTTGGTACCTATTGTTTAAATGCTTGTGTACGTTTTGGCATTACCAAAATTATCATGCTTTTGTGTACCGGGACCGTTTTGCATGCTTAATTCCACCATTCGTTTTGGTACCTATTGTTTAAATGCTTGTGTACGTTTTTGCATTACCAAAATTATCATGCATTTGTGTACGCGGACAGAAATGCATAAGGTTACCAAAACGCATGTGACACCCAGCAAAACTAGATTTTTTGCCCCTATCTGCCATCTAAAATTTTAGGATAATAGGGTTTTTCACTGGAGTATTTTTCTTTTTTTCCAAGGAGATGGTACCGGAAGATGCAAGAGAAGAATTGCTTATGAATCGCCTGGACGATGATTTAGTCGAAAGGAACATGATTGAAGATAGTGACGGAGAGCTGGACGAAGAAGAAGCAGACGATGATGAAATAGAAGACGGTAAATTAGCCTGATACTTGCATTGAAAAAACATACATTTAAAAGGGATAAGATTCAGAAAAGATTTTTTATTGAAAATTGTTACAGAAGGAAGCAAGAAATCAATTAAAGACGGGCCAGAGTGCATTTGGATGCATGGAGATTGCAAATGATGGTAAACGATAAACCTTTCTCCCAAAAAATGAAGAAAACAGTATCGTTTTTTTCCTGAGGCCTTCTCACATTTTCTTCTATTCAAGCCAAAAATCTTCTGGAATAAAAGAAAGTCGACCTTCAACCTTGGCAGTTTCAAATTCAACGCAGATGGATCAAAAACAAATTCCTGCATTTAGATAGGTTTAACATTCGAAACAGGAAGCCACTAACCAATATATAATAGCAATGATAATGTGGCTGTTCCCAAACTCATCCCAATCCACACTGTCGTTGCTTCATATGTAAACTGGGAGAGACTTAGCATGCAATATTCTTTAGTCCTTGTTACAAAACTCAAAGATTACCAGAAAGAAGTGTTGCCGTGATAGTTTAAGCTTTAACAAGTTACATCATTATTAGTATTATCATTATTACTTTGAACTCTATCTGTATATTTTAGACAGGGATCCCGTGATTGAGGGTGGTTTCAAAGAAACAACTGGTGGTGCTGAGGACACTAAAGGAAAACGGCCTAGCACAAAACAAAAAGACGGAAATGGTCAAAGGACAAAAAAGGAGAGAAAGAAGAAGGGTCGTTCCAAAGGAACAACTGGTGGTGCTGAGTACCAGGGCCATGAATTCCATTGGATACAGGGGGGACTAGGAGGAAAAAATTAATTTTGAGAAATTATCGTCATTTTCTTTTTTATATCATTGTAAAGGGAAATTATAAAGGAATAATTTCATTACACGCCTTTTTATAAAAATCCTAACTCGAAACCTAGGTCCTAAAGTTCCGAATTTTTGAACCTCTATTAGTTGAATTGCGGTACCAAGACCTCCATAATAGCTCCTTAACTCTAACTGCACATTTAGTGTCATGATAATTGTCGGAACTTTTCTCTTGCTTTCGGGCATTTTTCTTCTTACCATAATTGCTACACGTAGTTGGTAAATTATTTGCTATAAATACAGAATTGCGTAGTGATTAGTTGTTTTTCCTACGAATCATTCAGATGGATCGCATGGTGAACCCGTTAGGATCGCGGGAAAACCTTTAACATTGCTTGTTTACTCCATAACTTGGCTACAGATACATGTTTAGGTAAATTTAGTTATAAGCATTCAGCGTGTTATAGGCATGCAGCGTTATTTCTACATAAAAATTGCTGTTAATTAGCTTTAGTTGACGTAAAACTGCACATGTTATTCTTGCTTCTTATTGGTAGTTAAATTTGGAGATTTTTGTAGCGTTACTCAGAACCAGGGACTGTAGATTTAAAAGAGAGCGCGTTAATTGTGAATTTAGATGCATCGTAAGATATAAACACGATGGTTGATACCAATAAACGAGATGACAGAGCAAATTTGTCTTGTTATTCTTCAGCGTTCATCTTCAACAAATCTTTAGAATTAGCAACTGGGGAGTTTATAGTCCCAAAAATGATAGCATAGACACAAAAAATGAAATTCTGAGTTTTGCTTTTAACTGTAGCTAGAAAAAAGGCCCAGAGACAAAAAAGGAAAGATGTAAAATCAATTTGCGTAAAAGTACCTCGTCAATAAAGAAGTACTTTTGCATGTAATATAGAAAGAAGCAATGACTACACTCTTTATTATTAGAATGCAATGCAATAATTTTTGCTCAGCCTCTATTTTTTTAAAAAAATATTTGTTTTGAGCCCGAATATGTTCTTAGACACATACTTATTTTTTTTTAATCTGATATGGTTTCAGGAACTCCCAGAAACAATAATCAGTGTTCTTCTGAGAAACGTCGATTTGTCTATCCTGAACGGTACTCAGCACTACCCTGTACTTTTCCAATTCAAAATGGCTGTAAAGCCTTGGCCAAACGCTTCGATTTTTCGCTCGATCTTTCTCTCGATATTTGATCCTAAAATCGAGCAAAGTCAAGCATGGGTGGCCAAACGGTTCGATCTTTTGCTCGATTTTTCACTTGACTTTTCACTCACGCCAGCAAAATGAAGGCAAAGAAACGCAAATCGGCTGCCGTATTTATCTTACGTGCAAATATCTTGACCAGTGACAAACGGGGCCCTTTATTCCTGATCAATGACTAGCAGTACCCCCCCCCCCCCTCTCCCTGTTTCGTACTTGGCAAAAGGAAACCAAAAGCCAATCCTGGAGTTCTACAGTAAGAGCTTGAAAAATCTGAACCATTTTTAAAGAAATTTGTGAACCATCTATACTGATTTTGTTGAAAAATGGTGCCCTCGTGTACGAAACAGCTGTAAGTATTGATGGAAGATTAAACCGGCAGTTTAAAAAAACTTGTTGAAATCTGCAACTAGCATCATATCTGCAATATAAAATCATTACACTCTTTTCTCAAACTTGAAGAATTTTTGTTTCTAAATTAAGTCTGTGCCTTTTCTTAAGAAATTTTTTATCCTTTTTACCATGTCTACACACAACTTAAGCTTCTTATACAGAAAGAGCCCGTCAATCTGCACAATCACCAATTTGCACAAAACAGATGGCAGAAGGATCTCTTGGAAACCATTTGTCAAAATTATTTTGTCAGATATTTTTCTAAGTCTACTGCCTTACGCATGCTAATGTACTGGCATCGTATCTTTTGTAAATGATTTGTAACTGTAGCGTAGAAGCAGGAGCATTGCAGCCATTAGGTTGACAGGAGCAAAAGCCTCTCTTTACTTTTTCAAAAAAATGCTGTAAACAATCAAAATTTTGTAAATTACCGTTTGATGAGAATAAGTCATTTCGCAAAATTTATGAAGATTGCTAGTTTAATCGCAAATAATCTCGCCCCCTAAGCTGGAGAAGTTGGTTTCTCTGTAAAATCTTGGAAAATAGTGTCTCGCTGACTGAAAAATGGGCTTTCGGCGTTAGTCCAACTTTTATAATCTACATATCACTTGAGAGCAATACACCATTTGACAGTTTTACCAGCCGTGTCGACGTTTCAAAGTCAATTTGATTGAGAATCTTCTTCTTTCCAAAATAGAATTTTAAATAAAAACGACCTTGCATTTCAACATAGGGGCATTTTCTGACGTTCTATATAACGTAATTTAAAAAATTTATCCGGGAACAGCCCCCAAGGGTCTTACTCACCACCAAATTTCTCCATTCTGTCATCCATTGCATGGGGTTTTAAGCATGAATTTTGACATAGTTTACAGAAAACTGACTCTCTGCTACACAAATTTTTTCTGGGCCCGTTTTACAAACCCCGAATTTCAGCAAGTTTAACACCTATTGGCATCCTTTTGGATGCTTTTCCCGGTGGGTTGAATGGTAGCGTTAAATTAAATGAAATATTACACAAATAAATGCCATGCAGAGCTCGAAGCTCATCAATCAAAGATAGCCGAACATCGAAACTTATTTTCAGAACAATTTTTACGGATCTCGAAACCCATCTCGAAGTGTCAAGGGTAATTTAATACTATGAAATTTAATACTATCTTCACCTATGAAGAATGTGGGTGAAACGACTGGTTGACTATGATTGGATGGGTAGAACAAACATATTTTCCTGTCAAGGTGCAGTGCCTATAAAAGAGCTCAATACCTTCTCAAGTGGAGCAGATAAACTGGCTGTGTGGATCACTTGAAGGGTGAGAATTCATTCTTTTTCCTCTAGTTGAATGTACATAATTACTTTATTTTGATATTCTTAGCTTACTTTGATTATCGGTTGAAGATTCTGATACCGCTGGATGTCAACATCATTATAATGCTGACAAAGACATAATTGTATGAAAATATCTGAAGTACTTTCAGTGCCCCAAACATTGCCATGACCCATCGTTATGTTGCCCGCAAATGGGGCTCTCAACAAGTATTGTTAAAGCTGCACATGAAAATATGTTTCCCGGTTCAATTCTGTGGTGTAGAATCCAAATTTCGTGATATTTTTTGTGTGTGAGACGTTCAGTTGATTTCATGCGTCTTTGCAGGACCGTCGAGAGGGGGGGGGGGTGACCGGGGTAGTTACCAGGGGGCCCGGGGCTTTGAGGGGCCCGTAGAAAATGATGTATGTACTTTTGGCTATGAGTTTTCAATTAGCAGCATTAGCAGGGCGGGCCCATGACCCGATTGATATTCGAAATTTAATCTTTCAACATGGGATCAACAAGCTGGTCTATGATGAGGACCTGACCAGCTTGTTGTGTTCCTTGTGTTGTTTTCCTATAAACGTAAAAGTAAATCTTCCATTCACGGCGTACACCAGAGAAGAAGCACATGCGAAGAACCAAGACAAATCCAAACGCTATAAAAGTCTTTATCAAAATCACTAAGCGGGATCACGATCCAACCAACCCCTGCGATGTCATCTCACAGGCACAAGTCTGGTGCTCAGAAAAGGCAGGTAAAAAAGATACGAGAAAAAGAAGCAAAGAGGGCCTCTCGCACACTGTTTGAGGTAGGTGCTTTCAAAAGAGACAAGGAAGGTGATTCAACTTTAAATAAACCTGGCGAAAGCTCTGTTCAAAGCATTGCTGAAGAAGAAGAAGACACAAACGGCTTGGCTGCTTCGGTAGACCATGACACCACAGAAAGTAGAGAAAGCACTACTGATTCGTCATTAGATCAAGATACTGTTCATAGTGGATCATCTAGTTTTGATGTCGGCACATTGACCGGATTTCCAACGATAAAGGAGTTAGAAAAGGTTGTTAAAACTGGTCATTTGCCTCATCCTCCAGAGTTTCCCGAAGATTGCGACGGCCACAAATTTCCAACAACGGTCCTAAATGTGAAGCAGCAAAATGGGGAGGTAGTAAGAAGCTGGCTTGTTTTTAGGTCCTACAAAGGCTGCACTCTATTGTTTGCCATGCAGGTTGTTTGGGCACACTATCAATAATGGTTCAAAATCAAAATTGACTTCTCCTGATGGTTGGGGAGCGAACGACAGCTGGAAAAGATTGTGGGAAATAATTAAGGATTTCGCCATAAGGAAAGCAAGAAAAGATTAAGGATAAATCTTTTTGAGTTATTGAGTTGCTCGTATTGAGCATGTTTAATTATTGCTTTAGTTCTATGATTGTATTTTTGGCTCATATTGAGCATGTTGGAGTGAGTGAGTTGCTCTGGTTGAGCGAAATTTTAATTATGGCTTTATATCATATTTCTATATTCTATGATTGCATTTTGCTTATGTTGAGCAAATTTGAGTATTTAAGTTGCTCGTGTTGAGCAAGATCAAATTATTGCATTACTATATAATTCTATCATTCTTCGATTGTGCATTGCTCGCGTAGAGCAAATTATTATGAGTGTGTTTGCACATGTTGAGCTAGTTGAAGCATGTTGCATTTTCCATCGCTGGTATGTATGGTGAGTGGTTTATTTCGTCAATTTTTTGTTCTTGAGGCTACGTTTTCCACTATAGGGTTAGGGTCAGGAATGGGAGAGAGCTCTTTGAGCTCTAGGGTGGGGAAAAGAGGCTTTTCCTGTCCATTCCCTCTCAATTATCAATCATATTTGGGGATTATTGTGTAACTTCCCTTAGTAGCCCATTTATGGTAGGTTGAGCGATTGGCGCCGATGCACCAACGGCCAAACTCGCTCTCGATGATGTGGGAAAGTAGCCTCATGACGGACCTTTCCGATGTCTATGACAGTTTTCTGAGGGAGCTTTATACCCTTTATATTGCATCGGTATTTAATTCCCGTGTAAGTGAATGAATGCCACGGAAAAAGCTGCGAAAACCCGATGCGTTTGGATGGTTCACCATCTAGTGATGAGGAATGAATAACCAGATACTTAAAACACACGTTTGGCAGAAGCAATGTTGATTTTAAGTTAACAGTAAACAAATCTTTTTACACTACTTCGTAGTTCTTTGTAAGAAAATAATCATAACGGGGAAGTCTGATGTTATGACGTCATATTAACGTAAAAAGCAGCCATTTTTAATTCAATTTTTGGATGGTCAAATTAAGGTATAGGCTTTCGATGTGCATGTGGCAAAGTCAAACGAAATTTAATGCTCAAACGCAATCCAAATTCTATTTATATAGCAATTTTAAATATGCAAGATGTATCACAAGGGCTCAAAGTAGGAGGGAATTCAAAGCAAATATCATATTCGATTTTGGGGGGCTCCACAGCTGGGATTTTATGGGACCTTTTTCTGAACAAGGTTTAGCTGATGTACTTTCGATTGCAACTCAAAAAAGTTTTGTTGCAATTAGTTCAGGGTCGAATTACAGTTTAACTGGACAAATACCGATGCTATAAGAAATCTGAGTCTGAAAAGCTTCTCCAAGATGTGAAGGACACAGAGTTGAAAGCCAATTGATTTGATTTGGCATCCAAAAAACTTTCATCTACACTATCAAAACCAAAGTTCAGAGGTGAATACTGCCTCTTTCATGAATCAGCAATTACAAAAGGCAATTTACGCTAGATCAAGGCTAGAAAAAGATTAAATAAGAACCTTACCGTAGAAAAAAAAGAATTAATTTCAAGAAGCAATGAAATAAATTTGTCTCTTTAAGGCAGAAGGCAATTAAAAATCACTTTAAGGAAGCAACTAGAAATGGCACTATGAACTCCTTTCTTTCAAATAAAGGAGGACTTATAAGCAACGATATTTCTCTTGTGAAAAAGAAACCGTCATAACAGAAGACCAAGAACTGGCAAAAATGTTCTTTACATAAATATACTAAAGAAATCTAGCGTTATGAAGCCCATTAGCCTTGCAAAAAAATAGAATTTGTGACGACCGCCAAATTGTTCGCTTGATTTTTGATAAGTATAAATGTCATCCTAGTGTCCTAGCTATTATTCAAAGCCCAGAGCAAGTCCTGGCTACATTCACTTCTCAAGGGTTAGGCAGTCAAGAAGTTGCACAACTATTAAAACACTTGAATGGCAGGAAATCTACTGGTGAAAATCGAATTCCTCCCAAGCTTGTATCTTTAGCCTCAAATCAACTTACAAATAATTTAACTACAGAAATAGACTGTAGCATTCTTAATTTTCGTTTCCAAAACGATTAAAAAAGCGGTATGGACATTTCAAAATGATAAAAAACTGGCATCTTTGAATTTTTTATGCTGGGTTTCCCAGGTAGGTACCATTTTTGGCAACCTGTAGTTTGTTATTGGTGATATCAAACAAAAGAGTGGGCCCCCTAATTATCATTTTCTCCCGGCCCTTTTCTAGGAGCCACAACGCCCCTACCGAAGGAAATAGATAATTTACTCAAATATAGGAAGTAATCTAGCAAGTTTGCACTGCAAACAACAAAAGACCAGCCGAGAAGCAACTTACAACAGAAGGAGTACCTGGCAGTTTGCACATCGCCTGCCATTCATTATTGCGTGCTTGTATATCATAATGAAAGGCAATGAATTTAAGATCAGCAGAGTTATATAACAAACGAAATGTTTTTCAATGCTCGTGATTATATCCCAATTAAAAACTACATTGTACTTAATGAATAAAGTATCTATAAAACATGTAACATGTTTTGCACTACTGCAAGAAAGAAAAGTTAATTGGATAAAACCAATTTAAAGTCAGTGCTGTCCTGCAGTGATGGTGTCCTGCTGCTGACTAAAAGAGAGTTTATATCAAATCATTTAATACTAAAAGAGAGTTTATATCAAATCATTTAATACTGAAACGGTCACAGCCTTCGACTACACTCTTTTCTTTTTATAAGAACAATTTTATAAGAACACGAGCCTCAAAATTGGTCAAAAGTTAAGAACAAGCTTGAAATAAGTTAAGGCAGAGCTTCTAAAAAATGCAAATTTGAACAACGTTTTATCTTAAAATCGAGGATTTGGGAGCTTTTTTGGTGAATATTTAAACCTGTCGAAAAATGAAGGTTGTCTCACTCACTTTGTTGGCAAATGAGGCCTGAACACCTCCCTAGAGCGAAAAAGCTAGCAATCACACTGCTCACGCCCTATTGATTTAAGAACAAATTGAGAACAATCCAGCCTCAGATTTTCGAAAAAATTGTCTGAACTTAAATTTACCGGCTCTTATAAAAAAGAGTGTAGTATAGCTTTTTATCTACTGAAAGTCAAGAAGTTTTCGCGTAATATACTGTAGAAATGTTGCCTCCCTATATATAACTTAAAGCTCCTTGGTGTGTATTGGAGAACGGTTCAAAGAAACTAGCCACACAGATGCGAATATTTCCCAATCTAAGTATATTTTTTGGAGTGTTCTATCAAAAGATAGCCAGTAGTATGTCTGCTGGTTTACTTACTCGATGATACTCTGCGTGCAAACTCTACTAAGGTATTAATTAATGGTGTTGGAAATTTCACGGCTTAGTGGATTGTTTGAAGGGAAATCATTGTGTTGGCGCGCAGTCTACGCAATCGCAGGCTCGCAACATACGTCAAAATGTTAAAAACTACGATGTAGAGAAGAACTTCGAACGTACCTGATTAACAGATAAAAGCATCTTGAATAAGATTCAAATAGGAGCATGTTGAAATCTGTGCTCGTATTCACAGGATTAAAACTGATAACCTCGAATAAGATTACCATAGGAGCATGTTGAAATCTGTGCTCATACTCACAGCATTAAAACTGATAGCCTTGAATAAGATTACCATAGGAGCATGTTGAAATCTGTGCTCATACTCACAGCATTAAAACTGATAACCTTGAATTAGATTCAATTAGGAGCATGTTGAAATCTGTGCTCATAATCACAGGATTAAAACTGATAACCTTGAATAAGATTCGAAAGGTGTGAGATTGAAAAATTGAAGCTTTAAAATCTATGTCTAGAACACTACCAAATACAAGTTACTTGCTTAGCAAGTAGTAAACTTACCATGTCTATTTCCTTTCACATATCACATTGCGTTTTATCCCTGAAGCAGAAAAGCAATCAGATAACATTTCTGTCTGGAGAGAAATAGACCACTTCGGAGTTCACGAGGCCATGATCGAATTCTATTGTTAGGAAACTAGGAAGCTAGTCCGAATCCCGCAGTTGGGGCAAATCAGCAGAGAATTGATTTTGATTAAAGGCTTCAGGCAGGGCGGAGAAGGGGGGCCAGGGAGACTATGGTCCGTCTCACTTTTGCCAAAAATGAAAAAAGGTTTACCAATGAATCACTAGTCAAGTCATATTTAATTAGACTTAAGCCTCTCCCTCCCCCCCCACTCTTTTTAAACCCCCACTTTTCTCAACGATCCGCTGTGCCTGGGCTGTTCTTCCATTATTTTGGTTGTTAAACATCTTAAGAATAGAGAAGAATACTTTTAGAAAGAAAATCTGAATTTCATTGATTAACGATGGATCTTATTTTACCTACAGAAAAGTTTACAAATCTTGATGATATCGTTCGCTATTGTATTTGATGCGGCTTTTGCACCACTTGAATCATGGCTCAACGATCTCCAACATTGCCAATTATATAGAGAGAAGGTGTCAAAATATCATCTGTCACTGCAGCTGAATGGCTGCTAATAAGTACACTAATTATCTCGCTTACATTACAAATGTACAGTTGAGTTATGGGGGCATCCCTAGCAACACATCTAGCACCAAAAGTTTTTTGAAAGGGTAGGGTCACATTTATGGGGCTTTTGTGGAAACGGTCCCACTATCTTGTAATTTAATTCTATGCAGGTTTTGCCGTTTTATCGAGAGACAGTTATATCTTTCATTTGCTTTATTCAGTGTATGTAAACATCTTGAATCCAATCGCGTTATCCTCAACGATGGGAATCAAACTATGATATAGATGTTGCCAACAAGTCGGTGAGATGCACTGATTATATTGACGCTGTAACTTCAGCCGAGATATTGTGCCAAAAAAGATTTTACTCTGAAGCCTACAAATGGTTTATGTCAGCAGACAAGGCCATTCCATCTGAATGAGAGGAGCTTGCTTCAAATCCAGAAACAAAGCAGGACATGTTTGCCAAAAGAACATCTAGAATGACTTAAATCAAGTCTTATAGCTACATTCCTCTTCTAATAAGGGGTAAAGACACAAGAAATATAATTTATGTAGGATGAGTCAAACTAAACAAAATTGACCCAATATGTTACCGAAAAAGGGAGTGACAATCACTTTTAGACATTCATTATTTTCACCAATAATTGTTTAAAGCCTCCCCTCACCCCATCCTTTATTGAGATTTCAAAAAAATACCTGGCGCCCTCTCGGTTGAATAAACTTCCACCTCGCATATTCCAAGTTGGCGTTTTTGTCGACTGAGTACATAAACATATTGACCATTGACCGACTTTCTGCATTTAAAGTCTCGTGTTAAGGAAAATGCAATTTTGCCAAAATACGCTATGCACCTGCAATTTAGAAAATAGCCTATTATCTGAAGAGACAGCAACTTGGTAGTTTCAGTTGAACACATAAAAAGATCTATGAATCGCAAAAAAAACTGGGACACGTCGTGACAGGTCTGGTAAAGTTTTAATGAAATAAGCAATCGTGTAGCTACTTTACGGCAAAGTCCTATATTTTCTGAACCTTAAAAAATGGAATAAGAGATGGACAACGGAAGAGAGACAATAATCCAAGAAAACAGGGATGATGATGCTTTTAAATGGAGGGCCTTTGTTTAAAAGTGGCAGAGTGACACGTCTCATTCTCTAAAATCTTTACTAGCTTCCCTTGAATAACCAAAATGCCTGGACTGTACCAAAACCATAATGGTGACACGTTTTCGATAATCGAAGTGGTTGGGTTATCTCTCTTCTTGGCAGATTTGGATTCTCTGGGAACGTCTTCACAAGGAACTTGGGTGGGAGGACTTGTATCATAGGAGATGGTATAGGCTACTGTGCCATTTCTATAATTTGGTAAAATCCCTTTCCCCGAACTATTTGTTTTCTGAAATTCCCCTTGAGCGTCAAGTAAGCAACAATCTTCGAAATGTGAGACAGATGACCAAAATGCTGGAAGAACTGCAAGATACTCAAACACTTATTTTCAAAATGCACCTTTTGAGTGGAATCTTTTGAATGATGAAACAAGAAATTCAACGTTAATTTCTGAATTTACGTGTAAACTAATTGCTATGATAAGACCTGAAAAGAATTCAATATATGGTATAAATGATATTGTAGGTGTTAGACACTTGTCAACATTGAGATTGCCATTCAGTGTTCTAAATGAACACAAGTTCAGACATAACTTCAAATTTCTAAGTCCTGTTTGCGTGTATGGTATTGCTAATAAAGATAATGAACATTTCCTCCTGCACTGCCCATCTTTGAAGAAGCACGAAGAGATCTCCTTGGCAGCTTGTCGGATATTCCTGGGGTTGATTTGGCAGAGCTGCACCTCAATGTTCTTAAGAGTTTTGATTGGGAGGGTAAGATTATTCTTAACTTAGTTTTGAGTAACACAAAGTAAAAGTTTGGGAACGATCGAGAAAAAATGTTGAAATTTTAACGGTCTTTCCCCTTTATTATGCAAATATGTATCAATGAAGTACAGAGGAAATCTTCTTGGCCAACTCTCAGCAACTCTTCTTTCCTGTCCAGGTAATTAAAATGGTTTTAATTTTACTTTTACTTCAGTTATGGATCCAGTCAAATACCTGACTACCGCCGAAATTAGATAAAGGGTCGACCACGAATAGTAAGTAAAACAAAATGAGCCATGTTAAACGCTCCATTACCTTGTCAAATTTATTAATTCTTAGAATAAAGACAGTAAATATCTCATTGTAAACATGTGAGTTTATGTGTTATTTATTAGTAAGTATATGAAAGAAGATGGGTTTTGAATTTTGTCTATAATGGGAACTGAAACCCGTGTCCTTGCAAACCTTTCTTGCTATAAAAAACATCAAAATAAGAAAAGATTTATTGTGTCTTGTTTAAATACTCGGAATAAAAAATGAGCAGAAAACAACTGAATGCTTGGAATGATCATTTTTTTTAACTCCTTATAATAAAATTTCTTCACAGTTGATTTCTTTTATATAGGGTTGGAGTTAGGGTTGGGGTTAAGGTTAGATTCAGGGTTAGGGTTAACTTCAGGTTAAGAGTTGGGGTTTAGAGGTGATTAATGTCAGATTTGTGAATATGGTTAGGGTTAATGTTAGAGTTGGGTTGGGGTTAGGGTTATGATATGATTTCTCAAAGCAACTCCCTGTCCCAGTCCTTGTTCATTTCTCTGTATGTCGCCCAAATTAAACGCTTTTATGAACAAACAATAATTGTCTCGTACTGTAGATATGTAATATAAACCTAACAAAACATTTATCTCGCTAAAGTTACTATCTCTATGGACCCCTTTTTGGAAATCATTTTTTAGATGAATTGTAGAATTCTGTACCGATGGAAATTGTCTACACTCTTTGCATTTGAAAGCAAATAAATATTGATGCCACTTACAGTTGCGAGTTGATGGGATTTCCACATCTGTTGTTAACCCTGATATCAAAGTCTACAAGGCCGTACCATGGTGACGCAGGGTTTGTAAGACGAACCATTTTAACCTCCTTAGGAGCACCGAGATCGACTGCCCACCATGAGTTTTCCTCAGAATTTGTCCATGCGCAGAATTTTGTACCATGCAAAATACCATCAGTGGCATATGTGCTGTAAAAATATTTATTTGTTGAAGACTGCATTGTAGGCTTGTAAAGAGCCAGATTTCCATGGTAATCTGTAAAATGTATAAAAGGAAAACAAATTCAAGGCAAGCGACTACATAAAGTGAAAGAAAGGACAAAAATAGATCAACAATAAAAGACCAAATGCAAACGGCTAATTGCCATTGTTATGACTGTTCAGGAAAGCAGCTTACACTCACCAGCAAGGCCGTTCTATGACCTAGTATCTCTTAAAGAGAAACTTTTATAATCAATTTTGGAGTTATTCTCTGGGATCCTTAGGTCCGTTTATGCGTTCCTAGGGGTTCTAGAGGTTCCTAGAGGTTAGCTCGGATGTTTTTATGAAAAGGTTACACACTTATATGGACATGAACAGACTCAAAAACAATATCATTAGACTCGCTAGAAATTACCTCTGAAGGAAGGTTTCGTAGTTTCTGCAAGTCAGTGGCGGAAATTCAGGCTTATGATTTTCCGACAAGAGAACATCTTGTGTCATGTCTTAATTTAAGGAAACTGCACATTTTGATGAAAATTGATGATGTTTTGGCGGGACCCTTTAGAAATCTTTGCTGACCACGCCATAATTAAGTAGCAAGAAGAACAATCCATTTATGATTTTTGATATCAAGGTTGATATCTCATCTAAGGCAATTGATGATACAAGAGGTCGACCGATTACACTTTTGACGAGTCGTTCATGATAACAACAAGATTTTAGTTGTGATGTTCATTTTATGCATTTTATTTTGTTTTCGTCATTGGGAAATATGTTTGAAAATAAGTTTTGTTTGGAAGAATCCAACGGAAAGATCGGCCAATCATTTCGGAATTGAAATTAAACATACAATTCACAGTTTTGACTTTGGTCATATATTGTTTGTTTGCTTATCTAGTACTGGCTGAAAATTTATCAGCTATGCAATGTTCAAATTTTGCAAAAAGGGCAGAGAGAGGTTATAGAGGCCCGGGGGGGGGGGGTAGAAAGGGAAAATGCAGATCCCCTGCGAGCGAAGCGAGAGAAAATTTTGCAATTACGCCCATTAGATTAGCTTGTTTTCTTGTTTTCTTGTTTTCAACATGTTTTCTTGAAAAGCCTCAACTATTTTTGTCCGGGATAGTATCGAGAAAAAATTTTTAGAGACCCAAAATTATCAGCTAAATATTCTCGATAAGACACAAAAATATCAAAATACAAAATCTTGTTGTTGATCACGAAAAAGACCAGAAGTCACATCCATTTACTCTGTCAACATAGATGTTATTTTATTCCTGTTTTTGAGATTGTTATGTGTTATTTTGAACCGTAAAATGTATCAGATCACAAGGACAATTCTAATTTCTAGCCTATTATTATCGGATGAACCCTGCCGTATACACAAATTTCAAGTGGCCTCCCTGGGCATTTACCTGACTTTGGATGTTTAGAGGTACTTTGTATTAAACCTCTAAGGCTATGTTCACATTGCTCAGTATTCATTTTTATCCGTTTTCGTATCGATCCGCTTTACCTGTTCACACTGCTGCGGTCCAGGACCGTCGAGAGGGGGGGGGGTAGCCAGGGTAGTTACCAGGGGGCCCGGGGCCTTGAGGGGCCCGTAGAAAATAGGGTATTTATTTTTGGCTATGAGTTTTCAATTAGCAGCATTGGCAGGGCGGGCCCATGACCCGATTGATATTCGAAATTTAATCTTTCAACAAGCGATCAACAAGCTGGTCTATGATGAGGGCCTTTTCCTGTTATGGTTTATAATTAAAACATTGACGATCATAATATACTTCTCCGGAAGCCGAAAAATTCGATTGCACTTACATACATCTACTTTTAGGTCAAATGTTTTAGTTATTGCTTGTGTGGACTTCCTATAAACGTAAAAGTAAATCTTCCATTCACGGCGTACACCAGAGAAAAAGCACATGCGAAGAACCAAGACAAATCCAAACGCTATAAAAGTCTTCATCAAAATCACTAAGCGGGATCACGATCCAACCAACCCCTGCGATGTCATCTTACAGGCACAAGTCTGGTGCTCAGAAAAGGCAGGAAAAAAAGATACGAGAAAAAGAAACAAAGAAAGCCTCTCGCACATTGTTTGAGGTTGGTGCTTACAAAAGAGACAATGAAGGTGATTCAATTTTAAATAAACCTGGCGAAAGCTCTGTTCAAAGCACTGCTGAAGAAGAAGAAGACACAGACGGTTTGGCTGCTTCGGTAGACCATGACACCACAGAAAGTAGAGAAAGCACTACTGATTCGTCATTAAATCAAGATACTGTCCATAGTGGATCATTTAGTTTTAATGTCGGCACATTGACCGGATTTCCAACGATAAAGGAGTTAGAAAAGGTTGTTAGAACTGGTAATTTGCCTCATCCTCCAGAGTTTCCCAAAGATTGCGACGGCCACAAATTTCCAACAACGGTCCTAAATGTGAAGCAGCAAAATGGGGAGGTAGTAAGAAGAAGCTGGCTTGTTTTCAGTCCTACAAAGGCTGCACTCTATTGTTTGCCATGCAGGTTGTTTGGCCACACTATTGATAATGGTTCAAAATCAAAATTGGCTTCTCCTTGTGGTTGGGGAGCGAACGACAGCTGGAAAAGATTGTGGGAAAGACTCCCAGAACATGAGAGAGGCAATGCCCACATCAAGTGTTACTTGGCATGGCGTGAGCTTCAACGAAGTTTAGAAGTAGATGCTGATTTAGATTTGTTATTGGAGAAAAGTGTTTTGTCTGAAGCAGAAAGATGGAAAATGTTACTGCAACGAATCCTTGACGTAGTCATGTTTCTTGGAGAGCGAGGGCTTGCGTTTCGTGGGGATTCAGAGAAGATTGGTGATACGCACAACGGCAACTTTCTTGGGATTTTAGAGTTGCTTGCACGTTACGATCCTCTTCTTCAAGAGCACATTGGTAAAGTGAAATCCGCACAAGAGAAAGGGACTAGACTCCAGGCTCACTATTTGTCACCAGAATCTCAAAATGAGTTTATAAATATTTGTGCTGCACAAGTGAGAAATCATATTTTAGAAGAGCGCAAGGTCTCAAAGTACTTTGCGATTATGGTTGATGGCACACCAGATGCAAGTCACACAGAGCAAACTACCTTTATTCTTAGGTACCTTACCAATGACGGTGAGATTTTCACAGTTCAAGAAAGATTTCTAGCCTTTGTTGACTGTTTTAAGAAGTCGGGTCTCGAGATCGCTAACTTAATTTTGAAGACTTTGGAGAAGTACGGAATACCTATTGCTGACTGTCGAGGCCAAGGCTATGATAATGCTGCCAACATGTCAGGGAGATATAATGGTGCTCAGCAGCATGTGAATTCGGTCAATCCTTTGTGCCTGTACTCACCCTGTGCCTGCCACTCGTTGAATCTCTGTGGTACCAATTCCGCCGTATGCTGTCCTGAAGCTGTTACATTTTTCGGTATGGTACAAACTATATACAACCTTTTCTCGTGCAGTCCACAGAGATGGAACATTTTACTAAGCCATGTTGGGTCGTCACTACATGGATTATCATGTACAAGATGGACTGATCGCGTTGCTAGCGTCCGACCATTTGCAGCCCATTTGCCAGGAATCAAGAACGCCCTTGAAGATCTCCTGTTGCTGAATCTTACCCCGAAAACAACCATTGAAGTCAACGGCGCGATTAAGTATGTGTCATCATTTACATGCATAGTGATGTCTGCCTTGTGGTCGAAGGTTCTTGTCCCAATCGACCAAAGAAACCAAGTAATTCAGGCAAGGGAAGCAACGATCGATGTTGAGGTCTCAAACTTAAGAAGCCTGATTGACGAGCTTAAGGAACTGCGCAGCCAATGGCCTATGATTTTGAATGAATCGAAGCTAGTTGCAAATTCACTAAACATTTTGGCTGAATTTCCGAAAACGCGCAAGAGCAAAAGAGATGTCGAAGAAGGTGGAGATGAGGCTGATGAAATCGAAAGCAGAGAAGCGAGGGCATTCAAGCGTGATGTATTCCATACAATTGTTGATTCCGTGATTTCAGGTTTGACAACACGCTTTGATGCTGCAAATCGCATTTACCACACGTTCAGCTTTCTTTGGGAGTACTTGATTATGTCTGAAGAGGAAATTTTGCAGGCCTGTGACATCTTTGCCAGTAAATATGAAGTGGATATTTGCCTCGATGGACTGAGACAAGAAATGGTCCACATCAGGTCAATCCACAAGGCAAATTTTGGAGAGAAATCGTTGAATCCGTTGCAGTTATTAAACAGCATAAGCCAATTTAAACTTGATGAGATTTTTTTCAACGTGTGTACATCATTGAGAATTTTTTGCACACTGCCCGTGACCGTTGCTTCGGCTGAGCGATCATTTAGCAAACTCAAGCAAATAAAGAACTTTTTGAGGAGCACAATGACTCAGCAACGACTTTCAGATTTGGCCGTCTTAAGCATCGAGAGTGAAACAGCAAGAAAAATGGATTTTACAAATGTAATTAAGGATTTCGCCATGAGGAAAGCAAGAAAAGCAGTTTTTTAAACATTAAATTAACTCTGATTTGTTTTAATGATTTATTTTATATAGTCACTAATTATATGTTCTGTTAAAGACCTTAAAATACAAATTCAAGTGTTTCTGGGGGCCTTGATTTCAAAATTAATGCCTTTTACAGTCCATCTAACTGCATTGCTAAGGGCGTAACCCAAAAAAGGTTTTTGCAGCCTTCGACGGTGGGGCCCCATGACAGTCCCAGCCCTGGGGCCCGGCCCGTCTCTCGACGGCCCTGCTGCGGTCTAAGTATCTTGCTGTGTTGTTGTTGTTGTTGTTGTTAGCGTTTTCAAAGTATCCGTTTTCGGTGTTCACACTGCGTTTTTGCGTTTTCAAAAGCCACCGTTTTCAAAAGTCTCCGTTTTCAAAGTGCGTTTTCAAAAGTTTCCGTTTTCAAAGTGCGTTTTCAAAAGTCTCCGTTTTCAAGGTGGAGCAGTGTAAACGCAAGGCACAAACGGATACTTTTTTATCCGTTTTTATATGAATACGGAGCAGTGTGAACGGGGTCTAAGATGACAAAAATGCCATTACCACCCTGGCATACAAAAATGCCATTACCACGTGGACTTTTACGGACCCATCCCTACAGGAGAGTACATCCTAGTCGTTATAGATGCCTACTCTCGTACCCTGGGAACCAGACTCACTATAAAAAAATTATATATAGTGTGGTACCCAGGGTACTACTCTCGATATCCGGAAGCAGAATTTATAAAGTCAACATCATTCGACGATGCAATCTCCCTGAAGCTCGAAAGAATTTTAGACACACACGCCATTCCATCAAGTGAGTTTGCAGACTTTATGAAATCACTGAATATCAAACATCGACCGGTAACACCGAAATGGCCACAAGCCAATGGCTTAGTCGAAGCTTTTAACAAGCCAATGGGCAAAGCGATATAAACAGCCCAGCCCACATAGAACACCAAAGCAAAAAGCAAGCACTTCAAAGATTCTTGTTATCATACAGAATGACACCACACGCTACCACAAAAGTTTCACGGACAGACCAAACATCAAACAAAGCCGGATCATAAACAATCACACCTTTGCCAAAAGACACGAAAAGAAGGGAAAAGAGAGAATGAAAGCTTATGCAGATAAAAGCCGAAGAGCAAAGGAAAAAATTATCAAAATATGTGATAAAGTAATCGTAAAAAAGACTGAAAAATAAACTAACACCAAAGTTTGACACGCGCCCATACAAGGTCATAGAGACAAGAGGAACTCAAGTCACAGCAGAGAGAGGAAGGTCAAAAAATTACAGGAAACACCTCACACTTCAAAAAGATCAAAGTAAAACAAGAGCCAGAGAGTGAAGATAACTTTGTCAGTGACGAAAACAAAGCGGAACAACAAAGACCAAATTGACAATGTCGACATCCACTAAAAAGTCGGAAAGGAACACTTACAATTTTATGGACATCCTGTTCCGAACTCTACTATAACCTAATGATACACATAAGAACATAATAACCACACGTTATGTTTACATTTATGTTTATGGATCGAGTTCGGTTTTTTTTCATTGCGTACTTCTTAGAGATCAATAAGAAGCAAAGCGGGATTAGCAATGAATGGTAATGAATGATAACGAATGAAAATAAATGGTAATGAATGATAATAAGGGGTAATGAATGAATAAAACTGAACTATTAGATTCTGAGAACGAACTAGCGTCGTAATGCTTGATGTATAGCTACATACAAGTTTACAAGAAAAGACCCGAGTAACTGGACTGCTTTGGTGTCGACTTACCCTTTGGCACGTCAGAGTAGATTTCGACTTCACAAATAGACATATAATAATATTCGGGCATTGTGATGAATACGTATCGGCCCTTTGTCTTCTTTTCGCAAGTCAACTCAAAAATTGCACCAAGTGGAACCTTGCCATAATAATAGGTACACCTGTTGTAAAAGAAGAGAACAAATTAATATCGTTTTTGACTCCGTCACTGCTACCAGAAAACTGTGCCCTTTTTAATGCTTTTAAAAGGGCTCAGGAGTCTATGACCCTTTTAATGCCAAAAAGGTAGCCAATTTCTCCTTTTGCTAGCGTTTTATGCAACATTTTGAGCAAGACCCCCCCTTGTTATCTTGATAGCAACACACATTTGGAGACCATAATGTGATTCATAGCAAAGATATTCACTGCGCTGGTCGCGGGTTCGATTCCTATTCTGTTCGTGTCACTAGCTCGCACTCTCTCTTAGTATACAGTTTTTTCTCGTTTGCAAGGTTACAAATTATCATTTTACTGTTGATTTTGACACTGGTCGAACTAATATTTGGACTTTGTCCCAATTTAAACTTTTCCTCAATTTCATGTGTCAACCACCAAAGCAATGAGGTCGATTCTGCTTTGTTTTACTCGTTTGAAAATACAAAAAAGACTTCTCGCTCGTTCCTTAGACATTTTGAAAGCCCTTTAAAAACTTTGACTCATCACAAGGAAATCTCCATTGTAATCTTCTAGATCCCCAGTTGCAAATAAAACATAAGGGCCCCATGGCTGTGTCCGAAGAGGAAGTCTGGAACACAATATGTGGCTCGAGCGCTCACTCTAGTTATTCATGAAACAGCCTTGTAGAAATGATACCTGTAGTTTGATTTTCTTAAACTCCAGTATATATATAATCATATATATATATATATATATATATATATCTTCTTCTTCTCCTTAGACCTTATCCCGATTGATCAGGATTGGTCGCCCGAATCCTCCATTTCCATTGTTTTCTTTTCTCTGCATATTCCCCGGTCAGGTTCAGTTCCTGCATGTCTCTTTTGATGTTATCCTTCCATCTCATCCTTGGTCTTTCCCGGCCTCGTTTTCCATTCACTTCTATAGACATGATGTCATTTGCCGGTTTTCTATAATCTGCTCTTTGCAAGTGTCCAAACCATCTGGGCCTATTCTCCCTGGCCTTTGCTATAATTATACACACTTCTAGCTCCTTTCTGATCTCATCATTCCTTTTCTTGTCTCTCAATGACACCCCAATACTCCGTCTGAGCATTTGCATCTCCGTTGTTTCCAATATCTTGTCCTCCTTTCTAGTCAAAGCACATGCCTCCAAACCATAATGACCCCTGCCAGCTCCCTCCGTTTACTCCATGCCGTTTAACTCTGAGCCTCCCTCTTCGCTTAGCATAATACCAAGGTACTTAAACTCCCCCATTTGTTTCAAGACAGTGTTACTTTCATTGTCCCTAATACTCGCTCTTGTCTTTTCTTTGCTGCTAACAAGGACGTCGGTCTCATATATTTATATATCTCAATGCGTGACCTTGGACTCACCACACAGTGTAATCATTCATAGTGCACATTGATAGAAAGCTTTTATGTCTCTAGCTTTTGGAGGCATTGATGCTCATATAAGTCAAACTCTTCATTAGAATTACACTTAGCCCAAGGGTGTAGTGCTAGGGGGTTGGGCCCCCTTTCTAATGCCAAAAAGTAGCCAATTTCTAATTTTGCTATTGTTTTTCGCAGCGTTTTGCGCAGCCTCCCCCCCCCCCTTTAATTTTGATAGCACTACACCCCTGACTCAATCTGTTAAGCGAAGTAATCTAGAGTGTCGCAATAATCAGAATTTTTAATGAAAAAATAACATTCTGTGATGATACTTACAATGAATTGAAAAGTGGTCCACCTTCCACATCACCAACCAAAACTTTGAAATTAGAAAGTCCCCAGCCATCTTTACGATTTGATATTCTTATCAGGCCAATGTCAAATGATTTTCCAAGATCGACACTCCACCAAGAATTTTTCTGCTGCTTTGTCACGGCGCAAGACTTCTCGGTAAAGTCATTCTGTTTGCTGCCATCAACTGCCTTCGAGGCAACATTATCAGAATGGTGGGTCGAGCTCTGTCTGGCTGGTCGATGTAGAGCAAGGTTGACTAAGACAAATAAAGGGAAAATTAGGCTGCTCGATCTTTGGAAGAAACATTTTTGCACATTGTAAATTCGATGCAGTATACATAAGACCATTACAAAAATCTTTTTACACTTCACTTTTTTGAAACTTTGTTGAAAAAGATGAAATAATGAAAGTTGAAAAATAGATGCAAATTAATTCACCACTGATGAACCTATGAAAACAATCTATCTTCAAGTTTTATAGGCATGTCAATTCAATTTTAAAATCTAGAGTGCTGTAGCATAGAGAAGAAAATTTCGTAAACTCACCTCTCTTTGGAAACCCGCTAAAGACCTGAACTTCGCAAAGAGTGAGATAATCCTTTCCTCTTAACATCACGTATAAATATCGTCCAACTGTTGGCATGTTGCACTTTATATCGATTGTTGCTTCCGATGGTACTGTACCATGATAGCTTTTGCAGCTGCCAGAAAAAGTTCACATACATTAATGAATAAAAATACAAAGAAACGTGTAAGCTTCCATTGTCGAATTAAGATCTAAAATAGTGCAGGAAGCTTTTATCAAATTTTCAGAACCTTAAAACGATGATATAGTGAGCAAACGAATTGTGCACCAGAATGAAATGAAATAAAAGCATCTTGACAACGTGTACAAAAACTATCAACACTAAATATAAACTATCAACACAACACATCTTGTATATAGCTCGTATGCGCAATCAACTTTAACTCTTCTTTCTCCTAACCTGAATTTTATTGCTCGTGTGCTCTGATGGATGTCGTTTGAAATGGCAACAGGAGCATCGAAAAAACAGAGATGTGAGACGAGGAAAAAAGCCAGAAATAGGGTACATCAAAAGATGTTAGAGGGGGCAAGGCTAAGCACAAGAGAGAAGGTGATAGTCATATAGGGAAATTTCGTGAGCAATCTAGCAAACAGGGTAGCCAGAATTTTGTCTTTTGATATGTGATCCTGATGGGTCTTTGACTCAAAATCCATCAGGGGCTCTAAAATTAGGGGGCTTTAACTTTAACTTTAGGTTTTAACTATAAAAAGTAAAACTTTCTAAACGTTTGCAAGAAAAAGAATCAATTTAAGCTAATCTATAATTCGTGGTTGCAAATATTTTTCCGCCTATCCGTTTTGGCTTCCAGAACATTTTGGCATCCCTGGTTATAGCAGTAGCATCATTGTCAGCATCATTGTCATGGTATCGTGATCCAAAATGAAAATTATGAAAATAATTTGCTTTTTCTGGAACCTTGTTCTCCAGTCTATAAGTAGCACGGTGGGATATTTTTCAGCGTCTATTCACACCCTATCTTTTTCGGTGTATCAAACTGCCTATCTCTATCAAGTTTCATGCTTGTATCATGTTTTGCACAATTTGTAACTTTTTATCTTCTTACCGAAAACAATGAAATGATTGATCACGTGACCACCAGCCCCCTAATTTTAGGGCCCTCTGACGGATTTTGAGTCAAAGACCCACCAAGATCACATATGAAAAGAAAAAATTCAGGTTACCCTGTTTGCTAGATTGCTCATGAAATTTCCCTGTATAAAATAAAAAGGGAGACAAAAGGAAAAACGAGAGGTAAAACTTGGCTGAAAGCTAGAGAGAAGGTGCGTGGAAAGATGTTAAGGGAGCAAGCTGAACTCTAGAGAGGTGATAGGCAAGATATTGAAAGAGGAAAAAGTGGACCCTAGAGAGAAGATAAGAGGTCAGATGAAAGGGGGTAAAGAAGAAAGACGAGATTTGAAACATGGCAGAAGGCTAGAGAGAAGGTGATCGGTAAGATGTTGAGCGAGACAGGGTTAGGCCGTAAAGAGAAAGCTAGATATTGTCAGATAAAAAGGAGAGATGAAACATGGTAGAAAGCTATAGAGAAGATAAGCGGTCAGATGAAAGGGGGGCAAAAGAAAAGATGAGAGGCAAAACATGCCAGAAAGTGAGAGAGAAGGCAAAAGGTAAGATGTTAAGAGATGTGGGGCTGAACCCTAGGGAGAAAGTGCGAGGTCAGGTGAAAAAGCAGATAAAAAGAAAGAAGTGAGTCAAAACAAGGTAGAAAGCTAAAGAGAAGGTGAAAGATAAGATGAAAGAGAGATAAAAGGAATTATGAGAGATATAACATGTCAGAACTTCAGCACGGAGGAGAGAGAAGGGGAGAGGTAAGATGTCAAGGGAAACAAAAGGAAAGAGGAGGGGTAAAACATGGCAGAGAACTAGAGAAAAAGTAAGAGGTAAGATGTTAAAGGAGGCAAAGCTGAACCCTATAGAGAAGATGTGAGGTCAGATAAAAGGGGGGAAAAAGAAAAGATTAGAGGCAAAACATAGGAGAAGGCTAGAGAGAAGGTGATCGGTAAGATACAAATGGGGCAAGAGCAAAGATGAGAGGTAAAACATGTTGGAGAGCTAGAGATAAGGGAAGTGGTACATGAAAAAAGAGTCAAAAAGGAAAGACGAGAGGTGCAACATGGCTGAACGCTAGAGAGAAAGTGCGTGGAAAGATATTTAGGGAGGCAAATCTGTACGCTAGAGAGAAGCTGAAAGGTCAGATAAAAAGGAACGGATATAGAAAGATGATAGGTAAAACGAGGACAGAAAGCTAGAAGTGAGAGGTAATGAGAAAGGAGGTAAGGTTGAAAGCTAGAGAGAAGGTGCAGGGAAAGATGATTAGGGAAGCAAAATTAAAAACAATGGAGGGAGAAGGACTATAAAAAGCAAGAGCTTAGTTCTTAAACTTTTGTGACTTACATTTTAGATCTTGTTGGTGTATCAGGAGTCATACCAAGCCGCACATCAAAATTTGCAAGCCTTTCCCAGGAGTTGACCCTGTTAGTAATACGAACCATGGATACTTTTGTAGCACATCCAAGGTCGACGCTCCACCAGGCATATGAGTCATGACCAGTATGGGTGCACGATTTCCCGTAATACGCTGAATTACTATTACCATCAACTGCAAGACTAGAATATCCGCCCCAAGCCGTAGAACTCTGTCGTGTTGGTTGGTGTAATGCGATATTTTGATTCAGGTCCTGCTCGGCTGAAAGTTACAATACTGATTTTCAAATAAAGCAGACAATTAGAAGCGTGGTTGCGAATTAAAGTAATTTTTCTGGTTATAAAAAGATTTTTGAGACGTTTTGTTCACCATTAATTTTTTACAAGAATGAGATACACAATATTTTTTTAGACATTTCATTTTCATTGAATATATTTCAAGTTTAAAATTGCACGAATCGCTTTTCCGGACATCATATATTTGGCTTATATGCATTACTAACAACATCTAGAAGTCAATCAGTTCTGGACTTGCTCATGGTTTTTCCAACGACAGAAGATGAGGTAGGTGCAGCGAATTAAAATGTTCATAAGTTTCATCAAGATTGATTTAGTTTGATTGGAGTCGATTATGAGTTAATGTATAATAGAGAGAGTCTTATATGAGATTCCAAGAAGGCCAAGGGCACTCATGCAAAGATTAACAAAGATTTCGCTTTCATAGACAGGGGCCAGCTGCTCAATAAGTTCGCTGTAGTTTTTCCGAAATAATGATAATAATGAACTTATTTGAGGTTAGCGCTAAATAGCTTTTTACAGTAAAATACACTACAGCTAGTCAAAGCCAACTTTTACAACTAATACATCTAGTAAACGCATACAAGATAAAATTACATGGTTATCTGTAAAACACAATTAAAAACAATTAAAGTAATGTAAATGTATGTTGTTACAAAACAAGATTTGCGAGACGTTCTGTTCGCCATTAATTTTTTACAAGACAGTAACATACTCTAACATTAATGTTCAAATTTCTTCTTGGAATCTGACTTTTTAAGATGGCTTTGAAAAAGCAAACATTTGAGATAACTAAAGCTTTTCGTCTGACACTCCTCAGAGTTTGAAACGTCAGAACATAGATCGAAAACTCTACGCTAGGAAATACATATACCCCGTTTTGGATCTAAATAGGCCAATCAGAAACGCGAGCACATGACTGTCGAGGTTGCCCAATCAGTACCGCTTGCCTATAAAGAATGTTACCAATGGAGTCCTAAGGTGAAAACGAACTCCTTTTGTCTAAAAATAGCGGTTTTTTCGTGCTAATGGCGACATGTTTAGTATTATTGGTAAAGCCCGATCGTCATTCCATCTAGCAGTTTTGGAATCTACTAGTGTAGGATATAAGCAGAATAAATGCGCACATTGTGATAAAAGCATGAAAATCTGCACAACTACACAGTTTGATATGCTGAAAAAGATGGGATCGAGACCCAGACTGTGAAATGCCCCCAAATGCTATTTTTGGAATGCTTAATTGTTCCCAGACTCCTAAATTGATTATTGAAATTTATTGAAAATGAAATCAAAGACATGAAAATTGGTATAGATACTAATCATAACACGGTTATGTGATTTAGATCTACACTCATCGTCAAAATGCCCCCAAATGCTATTTTTAAACCATGTACTCGTTCCCAGACCTCTAACACGCTTATCTCTATAACTCCGCTAAAATTAAAATCAATAGCAAGCAACTTGATTTAGATACTAATTATAGCACACCAACAGAATTTGGGTCGACACGCATCTTCAAAATGCGTTCGACACGCATATATTGATTTTCTCTTTAACTTTGTTGAAAATGAAATCAATGACATGAAAGTTAGCAAGAATATTAATCATAACAATCAAGAAATTTAGAATGATTGGACTTTCACACGTAAAGGATTTAAATTGTCTTCCATCTTCAAAATGCTACCCGAATGCTGTTTTTAGAATGTGTAATACTTCCAAGATCTTTAAAGAGTTATTCTCTGGAATGTCGCTAAAAACCAACTAAATGCTATTAATCTTGTATAAAATACTTATTTAAAAGTACGATTAACACCCCGATCAAATAAGCTTTGATCACAAATGATTTCGCGCTGGGAAAGATAGTCTTCAGTACTCAGTTGGACGGAACACTTACAAAAAGGCCACTCAGTTTGTAATTAGTCGAATCTTTGCAATCACTAGGAGGTAGATACAAGCCAGTTTTTGGTAATTGCTAAATTTCCATGTTTGAATATCGAAAAGCTTTGGGTAGAGTTGGCTACTGGAAAAAAAATAAAAGGGGATACCAATCCAACATTTTCTTTCAGAGATCGCGAGATACTGTATAGCAGACATTAAAGTCTTTCCCTTGTAGAGGTTAATTCTTGAAGCAGGTCATTAGTGCTAGCCGATAAGGACTTTCCATTCAGGAGCAGATCGAGGTTCATTGGATCGAAATCATGGCATTAGACCTATCAGCGTTAATGCTGCCAATCCACCTAATAATAGTGCGTTACAAACCATTACATATGGTGTTTTCTGATGAAGAAGTTTTTTGCTAGACAAAATCAAAAACCTTAGACAAGAGGTGAATGAGATCACTCTGCAGTTACCAAAGGAGCCATTAAAAGAACTAAGCAATTACCAAAAGGAGTCAATAACAGAACTATGCAATAGAACTACTCTCTACAGAACTGACCAAACCCTCCACTAAGTGGCTACTCAACAAAAGACTAAAGCTCAAACCAGGTGTGCTGGTGTAACGATAGGGTTCTTCTTATGACGGTGAAGTATCAGGTCGTTGGCTGAGCGATGGGCTAGGCCAAAGGGCCTAAGCCCCGAACAAGTAACGCACAATAGATACTACTTCTTTGATGTTATCTCTAATGCTTCAATCAGAAGACTAACTTATAACGTGATCAACACACACTAATAACCTAATAACATAAACGGAAGCTAATTAACAAGACAATACGAGCGTCACACTACATGTTGAAAGACAAGCACATTGCCATAAAAAGGCGTTGTTCACTAACACAACATGACTTGACAGAACATGTGACTATAACACGCAACGGGAATATTACTAAAATTGATTAAATATGAAAGCCAAACCGTTACACTGGAACTCCTATAACACCCCCTAGACCTGTCACTGAGTGAATCAAGCAGTTCCTCTAGATCAAAAAAGTAAAAATATATCGAAATTTAGAGATAACTACTAGTGCTTATAAGTTATATGTTAGAATTTAGAGAAAGAATCAAAGAAGGTGAGTGGTAAATTTTTACGAATGCAGTAGAATATCACAGATACCGTACACATTACATATTAGATACACAGTTCACAGGAAGATGTGACTTTGTTAAAGATCATATTGACAAGCAGATGCCAGACTGCAATATGCTAGCAGTGAGTTACCTGATCAAGAAGCAGAAAATTCACATCAATCTGTAATAGTTTTGTCAATTTCTTTTACATTTACCAGGGAACATAACCTGACCAAGAAACATCATATTTTGATCAATTTACACCAGCTTTACATCTGCCACATATTTTTTCGTTTCTTGTCACTCAATTGTCAACAATGTGATGCCCCATTTGATTGTGCACGACCCTGCATGCGTTGATATAATGGTTCGTAAGCTAAATTTACAGATTGCTGGCAGTATACAAAGCAGAGGAAGTAGAAAGCTAAGTTAAACCCCTCCCCAGTATTGATTTTTCAGGACCACTGCCATAACGGGTGCGAATTGAAGTCTGTTTGGCATTGTTAATGGGAATTAATCGTTTAATTCGAGTTAATACCCGCGGGGAAAGTGCGCAGATTCCCCTTTTCTAGAATCGGGTGGTCCCACAAGTATATCCTTAGTAGGCTGTGGATATCATGTTACCTTAGCTATTTGCTAATCACCTTGTGGTATTTTCTAGGTGGTCTTTTCCTGGCATATTTCTTTAAGTACAGTGATGCAGCTAGGGTCATGTCATATTTTGCAGCAAGACTCACGCGTTGTTTGTACGCGTTTTCCCCTCCCATCCCTGTCCCCTTGTACTCACTTCTCCTCCTGCTTATATCCCGTCATATACTTCCTTCTGCCTTCTCCTGTCTCACTTCTTCTCACACAGTCATTCGATTGTGTGACAGGTGTATCAGTCTGATTATCGGGGTAAAAAACTGAGGCAGTTTTTTCCCTGGAATCAAACACCGACCATAAAATTGCGTCATTGCTCAGGCAAGACAAGGGCTGATGCACCAAAAGCCCAAAATGTTTTTCCTGAGATTAGGGTGTTGTTTATCATAACTAAGGGGCCCCCGCGATGGAATTAATCATTAATATCTAAATCAAGTGGCTTGTTATTGCTTTCATTTTTAGCGGAGTTGTAGAGATAAGCGTGTTTGGGGTCTGGGAACGAGTACATGGTCTAAAAATAGCATTTGGGGGCATTTTGATGATGGTTGTGAATCTAAGTCACATTTCCGTGTTATGATTAGAATTTATACTAATTTTCATGTCTTTGATCTCGTTTTCAACAAAGTTATAGAGATAATCAGTTTAGGAGTCTGGGAACAATTAAGCATTCCAAAAATAGCATTTGGGGGCATTTCGCAGTCTGGGTCCCGATCCCATCTTATTCAGCATATCAAACTTTGTAGTTGTGCAGATTTTCATGCTTTTATCACAATGTGCGCAAGATCATCGTTTCAGTGCCCTTAGCTACTACACTAATCTACATTAGCACGAAAAAACCGCTATTTGTAGACAAAAGGAGTTCGTTTTTACCTTAAAACTCCATTGGTAACATTTTCTATAGGCACGCTACACTGATTGGGCAACCTCAACAGTCATGTGCTTGCATTTCTGATTGGCCTATTTCGATCCACAACTGGGTATATATATTTCCTAGCGTAGTGTTTTCGATCTATGATCAGACATTTCAAATTCTGAAGAGTGTCAGACGAAAAGCTTTATATTACTCAAATGTTTGCTTTTTTCAAAGCCGTTTTTAAAGTTTTGTCCCACCAAAAGACTTTTTACATATATCTGACTTTTGTTTAATTTAAATATCTGCTGTATTTTTTTCTTTCACAATCAGTGTAAGGTCTATGATTTGAAAGGAACTATACCTATATATATATATATATATATATATATATATATATTATATATATATATATATATATCATAGATTGAAGAAAGTGAAACTACATGGTTATCTCTACAAGCCTGTTTCGTGAGTAACTCACTCTTCCGGAGATCTAAGATATATATATATATATATATATAATGTAAGATATATATATATATATATATATATATATATATATCTTACATTACAAAATAACGACTTTTACTCACTTACCTGCATTGCAAGATTTGCAACAAAATTCTTCCATAAAGGTAGGATTTCTTTTGCACTCTCCTTTTCGAGTCCAATATAAACAGGCCGCATGTTTGTCATCACAACCGTTTGATGCTGCAATAGAAATAAAATCTCATTTCTAAATCCAGTGGTGCAGTGGGGCATACTGAAAAAACCAGACCCTATGACCCTAGGACCCCTATGACCCCTAGGACCAGGGGCATCGCGACCGGGGGGTGTGGGGAGGTGTCACGCACCCCAATAATATCTCAATAGGAAATTTTATGTAAAACCCGCTCGGTGGAAGAAACGCTTGATGTATTTCAGAGACCTTCCTGTCATGAAAGCAATAAAGGATCAAGTTAAGGTAGTTGCTTCGTTGGTTAAATATGATATTCCTTGATATGATTGAAGGTAAACAAACTAATGATTTGAAGATTTGAAGATTACTTGTTGGTACTAAATCCAAAAAGCCAGACGCTCTTTAGGTAAAATTGTGCCTTAAGTCAATTTCCCCTAAAGTTTCTTGGTAGAAGCGTCAACTGCAGTTCACTATGAGTTCAAGATTTATTTCAGCATTCAAAAGGCATGCTAAGATGGAAAGAGGGATCTAAATTCACAACCAGTGCTACTGGTTACCCAGCTTTAGAAGTAACTGACAACATGGTATTTTCCAAGACCACGGCGAAAATGTACCCGATGTTTTTACCTGCTGTTCAATTTTTTGCAAAAAATGAATGTTCAATAGGTTAAGGAGTATTGCTTTAGTGAAATTTGCTAAAAAGAGTGCATTTTCCAGGGAACTGGAAGCATCAATATGTGAAAATTTTCTTGTCCTTCGGCGGCAGCCGTGGTGCCGCCTCGGGCAGTAACTATATTCTTTGCTCGTCCCAATATACAGATTTGACAAAACTATTACGAATGTCCGTTATTATCATATAAAAATTAAAGTTGCGAATTACATGCAGAGTCAGATTGACTGACAAAATTTATTGCAGAGGTTTATGACGGCAACTAAAGAATTTCAGGCAATACTTTTTTAATCAGGTAAATTTGTAGTCCATGCCCCTCCCCCCCCCCCCCCCAACAAGGCTTGCCTCGCAACGGCCCTGCCTAGGACCATTAACTAGGAAGAACCAAAAAGGACCCTCAACTACTACATGATTTGCCACTCCACCATAGCCTGTGTTCCAGACCCCTGGAAAGTAGAGGGTCTATATAACCAAGAGCAAAATCGCGTACGAGCGTTTCCCAGAATCTCTTGGAAAATTACTACTGCAAAAAATTATGCGGCATCCACAAGACAAAAGTGAGCAACAGCGTGAACAGAGCTTAGTTTGCCGGGCAGTTTACACATTAAAATAGCGAAAAGAAATGTGTGCAAATTCAAAATTTCTTTTTATTTTGTCAGACAATATCACAATGATGCCTGAAGTCTTGAATATACCTTAGTCCCTTCAAATTTCGCTTGCCTTTAATTTTCGCACCGGAGGGGGGCGGGAAGTAAAGGGGGCGAATATTGGAAATATTTGATGGGGCTAAAATTAAAGGGAGCGAAAATTAAAAGGAACTTAAAAAATCTATTTTCTATAATAGAACCTTAGTTTTTAGGCCCTTCAATAAATCTTTGCGCGCGTTAAATTTTCATACTGCGTTGATTGCTTTCATTGTTACAGTTCTCATTTAGTGACTTTCTGAAAAAATTTCCATACTGAAGGTCATAAGAAAGATTTCTTCATCTTTAAAATGTTGACAAAGATGATAAACTTATGTCTTTTTAAGTGGCCTTACTGTATTTCAAAATAAAATCCATTAATCTTCGATAACGATTATATTGTCCTGTCCAATAGAATACCGAAGTGATGACCTCATAAAAATCTATTTTTAGAATTTCTGAATTTTGACCCCAGAACCTGAAAGAGCATCATGAAATACCGGTAAATATGCAAAATCAGTCAAAATATTACGAATTGGCTGAGATATGGCCACTTGAGCACAGGCTCTTGCCCCATCAAACCACTGTAATTTGATCTTGGTTCATAACTCTATGAACCAGGCCAAAATAACAGTAATCCGTTAGCAAACTTGAAATCTTTCATCGGTCATATTTCGCCCGATTTGGAACATATCTAACTAATTTTGCATATTGAGGGGTATTTTATGATGTTCTTTCAGATTGTGTGGCCAAATTTAAGAAATTCTAAAAATAGACTTTTGATGACGTCACACTTCGGTACTCTATGTCTGAAGGGTGATTTTGTTCTTCCATTTCCAAAGTGTTCTCCTCCTCAGGGCCATATTCATCCAAATCATCAGCGGCCAATATCTCCTCAGCTTCAGTTTGGTCAGAAGATACTATCATCTTCTCTGGCTCGATATAGTAGTCTTGCAGATATTCTTTCATTCGATTGAAGACAGAACTTGGCGCCTTATCCTTATTAACGATTAGTCCAATCGGTATTTCGAGTCCACCTTTAGGAATTGGCGATCTTCTATACTTGTTGTCTTGTACACGACCTTCTAAAGCGCCTCCAGAATTCAAGAAAAAATGGCAAAAGCGATTTTTCAGCAGAAAGTTTCGAAGCAAAAAAAGATTTTTCAGAGGCCCGAGTGTAGTTCCATGCCGCATGAAGGTTCATTGCTTGGAAAAAGGTCAAAGCTTTGAAAATTAAAGGGTTTGGGGGCGAAAATTAAAGGGAGCGAACTTGTGCACAAAAGGGGGCGAAAATTAAAGGGGCGAAAATTAAAGGGAGCCAAATTTGAAGGGACTAAGGTATCATGACGCCTAGATAATTGTCGCCCGGCGCTACGATAGAAACACTTCGAAAACTGAATTTTTATCAAAACACACGCTTTTTGTTGATAACTCTTCTCTTATGTGTTAATGAACGTTACAAAATAATTTTTAAACATCAGAATTTCAAACAACGAACTTAGAAGACGTATTTATAGCAAAGCAATCACTTTCATGATGAAAAGAATTGATAAAAAGTACAAGGCACAGGCCTAGACTCACTGCCTCACATTGCTAAAGAAATTAGTCTACTCAGTTGGAAAGCCCTGTCCGGATCAATGTTAAATGTTTCACTAATCTTCAGCAATTTCCACTGTCTGTAAACTTGTGTTTATAAGCAGATATCATTTTATACGGCTTGGAGGCAAAGCGTCTTGTTTTCTTTTCGGTCTCCATTTCCTATCGCTACTCTAAAAGTCATGTTTTTCGTCATCGTATCCACCAGATCTTGTCCCAAAAATCCTTCTTTACACTACATTCAAGCCAAAGTAGTAAATAATCATCTTCTACCATGCAAAACAAAATGTCTACTCTACTCAAGGCAATTTTTCTTCGATTGCTGCCGTAGATTCACTCCCCATCAACCGCTGTAAAATGGGCAAGATAGGCCCACAGCCCCTTTAATCTGTTTTGGTCAGAACCAATGAAGTTTCCCAACGAAGATCTTCATCATCAAATAGCAGAGCAGCATTTTCAAAACTTTTCTTCTAACAAATAAATCTATATCATACCATCACAACCGATCAAAAATTTCTTCTTGAAGCGATTCTTCTTGCATGATTACACAGATCTGTATATTTATGCAAACAATTCAATTCAATCCTCGTACGCGATTTTGCTCTCGGTTACACAGACCCTCTACTTTCAGGCTAGGGGTCTGGCGCACAGGCAACTCCCCCATTGCTTTCCTCATCCACATTCCCGTGCCACTCAAATCATTGAAGATTTGGATATAATGGGACTGGACGCTGATACGTAATATGTAGACCCAGTAGTGTGGAACGCAATGATTGCCTTATGGTATGCATTAAAATTGTGTTGTGCCATCTAATCATTGTCTTCTGCTACATTCTCATAGGAGTATGACAATTAATCATTCAATTTGGTCATCATAAAAGTTGTGACCTAGTGACCTTTGATTCAAACACATATTTTTATTTGCGTAGTTGATTGGCTAATTTATCAACCTAATCTCATAGAATGAGAATGAAACTGCCTTTGAAAAAGCTTGCCCCATACAGCAACAGAGCAGCATAATTTTAGCAGCGATTGATAATCTAGAAAAGAAAGTTTCATTCGTGGGAATGTTGATGATATCAACAATAAAAAAAAGGTTTCACTTACCGCATTGCCGAGCAAAGGCACACAGAAGCATTACAAATAGATACAGCCTCATGCTTGAAGATTATGGAACACTCTAGAAAACAAAAAAGGTAGAACGATATTAAATATGGAGAGTGTGATGTTTAATATTAAAAGGTATACACTCATTTTTTTATAAGAAACTAAGGTCGATGTTGAGTACTCCAGTTTCTTAATGTTCTGGAAAATTTCAATACTCACTGTTGCTCAAGAGTTTCTTAATTATAATTTCATATAAATGTTGTTATGAAATGTTCGTGACAGGGCCGTAAATCTGTCATGTCAATTGGGGGGGGGTCTGCAGAGCAAATTAATATAAAGTGTGCAGTGGGTCATGGCACCACCAAGCAATTTAGGGTATGTGTTATGGAAACTGCTTGAGCGGCAAACGACTTAAAGAACAAAAAGAAAGATTATTAGATTTTGTAAAGTTTTTTCACCTCTATAGAAGGTATTTACAGATATTTCTTAGCACGTTGACTATTTTATAATTGAGTTGATAACATTTTTCAGAGACAGCTTGAGGAAATTGAACCTGAGGGGCTGAGAATCGCGCTTAGTGATGTAGGAGGACCCACCATGGTTGAGGCCGACGCGAAAGAAAAATTTTTAAACCATACCTTCTAAATAGCTAGAAAAGCATCTCCCAGACCAAGTTTAACAAAATACTATACCGTTCAGAATAGACGTTTCTCAGAAGAACACTGATTAATGTTCTGGGAGAAATTGGGAAGGGGAAGAGTCATGCTTAAACTCTAGTGACAGACGTTGGGGAAAGAAAGAGAAGGTGTTTTCTATTCGAGAGCAAGTGATTTTTTCCTGAAACCATATCGGATTACAAAAAATAAGGATGTATCTAAGAACATATTAGGGCTCAAATCGAAAATTTTCTTAAAGAAATAAAGGCTGAGCAAAAACTATTGCAGTCTAATAATAAAGAGTGTAGTCATTGCTTCTCACGCAAATTAATTTTGCTTCTTTCCCTTTTTGTCTTTTGGCCTTGTTCCCAGCTACAGTTAAAAACAAAACTCAGAATTTCATTTTTTGTGTCTATGCTATCATCATGTCACTAAATGTGCACTTTGACTAATAGGGTTCAAAAATTCGGAACTTTAGGACCTAGGCTTTGAGTTGGGATTACATGTTTTTGAGATTTATTCAAGGGGTGATATTTGGGGCTAATCCCCTACATGGGCATCGTCACCGACTCGACACCACTCTGCAAACATAAATCACTGCTATCAACAATAGTCAACTTGCGCTTGACACCATGACATAGAGTGGCTGAGGTTTGTTGCAAGAACACATAAAAACTTAGTTCGGTTTTAACCCAGTTACCAGGGATTCCTTCTTTAAAAGAAAATGACGATAATATCTCAAAAAAATCGTTTTGCTAAAGATTTTGGGGGGAGCCCAGTCCGGTCCCCCCCCCCCCGGGATTTACGGCCCTGGTTCGTGACCTTTTTTATCTCGTCAAGAGATTCGCTTCCGTTCCGATACCGTATTTAGATGTGGGGAGTATATTTTTATCCCTTGTGTTTTGAATTCTAGGCCAACAGGGCAATCATGTTCTTGGATTTTACAAAATTTCGCTGTTCTCAGTTTTGTCACGATTTAATAGTTTCTTAATTTTTTTGCTTCGAGTACTGAAGTTTCTTAATTTTTCTGACTGTCCAGTACTCGTTTCTTACAGCCAGTTTCTTATAAAAAAAATGAGTGTAATGTCATTCAGTTTGCACTGCACCTAGCCAAAATGCTAGAAATTCCGTCAAAGGACATGAAAATCGAAAGCTCCAATAGGCTCCAAAGCTCCAATAGGAGGTAGTATTCACAGGCTTAGCATATTTGACTAGGGTGAAACCTCATCCTGTCATTAACATAAATGGAATTGATGTTAATGACATCAATGCCTAAAGAACCACTGTGCCCTTGTGAAATTGGCACTGTGTTTTTGCAAATGGAATCTCAACTCCTTGGGTGAGATAAAACATTAGTGCGGTTAGGAACAAAATGAAAGCAATTAAAATATTAGTTGCATTTGTTATAAACGTATGTGCAATAATGCTATTTATTTCGGCAACCCTCTGAAAACTATTAACGGACTGTAGTAGCGAATGTCAAGCATTAATGCAATATGTAACACTAATCCAAGTTAACTAGTAGAAGCTTCAATTGAAGCAATCTAAAAGCTTTTAAAAATGAGGTGAACTTTAGCAAAGTCATCAGAATTTGTAAGAAAGAAGTTGGAAACCCTTTGATCAATTATGACTTCAATTGAATGTCATAAAGAATGCCTGCCAGAGCTCACAAATCATTGCAATTGTACAATTCATTTGCACTTTTATCTGCACCTGCAGAACGTACTTTTAGCACAATGCAGCATGATACGACACGGTAGCCAGCAGCACACGGAGGATGGGCAAGCCTAATGCCTAATTTTGAACGGGGACGTGCCATTTTGTTTGAAAAGTTTGAACTGGCAATTTTCGAGTGGCTGCTTTCATCACTTGCATAGGACCGGAAGCTCTTCGAATACACAATTCACTTCCGTACCAGGAGGAGGGTGAACATCAAAACATTGAGCGAATCTTCGAACTGTATTGGAGAAACAAATGTAATTTACGAACGGTATAAATTCAATAATTGTACACAGGGACCTACAGAGGCAATTGAAACTTATGCGGCTTCTTTGCATGCCCTCGCAGGCACATGTGCATTTAATGATATGCACTTAATGATGAGTTGATACGTGACCGAATTGTTTGTGGCATTCACAACAATGCTGTGCGACGTAAGCTACTGCAAGAATCAAAACTCTCATTATCTAAATGCATTGACTTATGCAGGGCCACAGAAACAACTACTGCTCAAGCAAAAATAATGGCTGGCCAAGATGATAATCACGACCTCATGGCCCATTATGTTGGAAAGCAAAGCAGCCCAAGGAAAACCACTGGAGACACAATAGGTTTTATTCCCGACTGCAAATTTTATGGGCGTAGCCATAAAAGAAACAAAGAGAGTTGCCCAGCCTTTGGCAGATATTGTTCTGGTTGTGGTAAGAGAAACCATTTTGTTGAGAAGTGCAGCTGGAAGAAATCACCAGGTATGAGAGATACATTTTCTAAAGCGAAAATACATGCAGTGAAGGAAGAAAACACTTCAAGTTATGATGAAATTCTTATTGTTGAAATTTCACCCAAAAATGATTTGGCAATCAATGCTGTGTCCCAGTCCCCTCCTAAGAACAAAATTTTTCCCTCCATGATTATAAAAGGCAGGCAAATTAGTTTTCAACTTGACTTAGGTGCTAACTGTAATGTCCTTCCAGAACACTTCGTTCCTCCAGGCACAAAAGTTGAAAAATCGGAGCACTCTTTGCGCCTGTACAGCCAAGCCTTATTAAGGTAGTAAACCCAAAGAACCAGACTGAGTACACTGTCAGATATTTTGTTGTAAAAGGTGACTATGTACCATTATTAGGAGCTAATGCAGCACGAATAATGGGACTAATGATTGTTAATTATGCTAATATCTTTAACACCAATGTAGATAATGTTAGCTCTAACAGTATTGCTTCGAACAGCACACATCAAGAGGCACAACCAAGGGTTTTCATGGAAATAGTTTTATCGACTACTGCAGAGGCTCCACTCAGTATTGCAGATATAGAGATCCGTTTTGAAGATGTATTTGAAGGTCTGTGTCACATGCCAGGCAAGTTGCACTTAGATGTTGATGAGTCATAAACCCCTGTTGTCATGCCGCCTCGCAGAGTACCAATCGCTCTCAAAGCAAAACTCAAGGCTGAATTGGAAAGGCTGGAAAATCTTCATGTCATTCAGAAAGTTACAAGTCCAACAGATTGGGTATCAAATCTCGTCTTTGCAGAAAAACCAAATGGGAAACTGAGGGTGTGCACCGATCCACAACACCTCAACAAAGCATTGAAAAGAAGTCATTATCCGTTACCGCTCATTGAGGATGTGCTACCAGAGCTAGAAGGTGTCAAGGTATTCAGCAAAATCGACCTGAAAGAAGGGTACCTTCAAATAGAGCTCGATGAAGAATCAAGCATGCTCACAACGTTCCAGACACCGTGTGTAAGAATATCCGGTATATAACAACGAAAGAACACCCGAATTCGAACTTCAATACTTCATTTCATATTCTCACGCATAACATAACATAACAACCCGGGCGCATGCCCAACATAACATAAATACGAGGCTAATAACGTCACACCGTGGGGGCGTTGGAGGTACCTCAGGATGCCATTTGGAATTGAACCAGCTTCAGAACATTTTCAACATAAATTTGATCAGTGCATTGAAGGCTTTCTGGGGTGTATGCAGTCGCTGACGATGCTCTTGTTAACGGAAGAGGAGAAACTTACGAAGAAGCTGTCAAAAATCATGACATGAACATGCTGGCACTTTTGAAACGTTGTCAACAAAAAAAGTTCAAGCTGAACAAGGACAAATTCAAGTTCAAGTGCGATGAAGTTTTCTTCATTGGTCATACCCTAACACAGAATTGTCTTAAAATAGACCCAGCAAAAGTTGAAGCCATCACAAAGATGAGCAAGCCGAAAGATGTCGCTGTTTTACAAAGGTTCATTGGCATGGTAAAATACCTGGCCAAGTTTCTTCCCAGACTATCTGAAGTATGCAAACCTCTGAGAAATTTGATCCACAAAGATGCACCATGGGTATGAGGAAAAGATCATGACAAGTCTTTTGCTGACATACAAAAAGCAATTTGCGAGGCACCAGTTCTAAAGTATTTTGACCATAAGGCAGCAACAGAAGGCCAGGCTGATGCATCATCAAAGGGGCTTGGTTTCGTGCTCATGCAAGAGGGACGTCCCGTGTCATATGCAAGCAGAGCCCTCACCCCTGCAGAGCAAAATTACAGCCAAATAGAGAAGGAGCTGCTTGCACAAGTATTTGGAGTGGAACATCACCATACCTATGTCTATGGCAGAGAGATTACACTTTGGACGGATCACAAACCACTTGTCTCAATCGTCAGCAAACCACTCGCCTCTGCTCC